TTTCCTCTGAGGGAGAGGCATTGTTACTCTCTCATTGCTATGAAGGCTACTCTGTTGTCTTTCTTTTTCTTTCTTTCTTTTTTTTTTAACATTTATTTATTTGACAGACAGATCACAAGTAGGCAGAGAGGGAGGGAGAGAGAGAGAGAGAGAGGAGGAGGCAGGCTCCCCGCTGAGCAGAGAGCCCAATGTGGGGCTCAATCCCAGGACCCTAGGATCATGACCTGAGCCGAAGGCAGAGGCTTTAACCCACTAAGCCACCCAGGTGCCCCTGGTGTCTTGTTTTTCTGATGTTTGGTTATGTTGTGTCCTGGTATGGACTTCTTTGGTCTGTCTCTGTTGGGGTCTTCCCAGTTTCCCAAGTGTGGACGTTTATGTCTTTGGTCAAATTTGTGGACTTTTCATCCATTATTTCTCTGAATATTTTTACAGCCATTTTCTTTCTCATCTTCGGTGATTCCGTTGACATGAATGTTGGATCTTCTCTTACAGTCCCATGGGTCACTGTGTTTTGGGGATTTTTCCTCCCAGGCTTTCTTCTATTCTCTGCCACCTGTCGAGCTTTTTATTTCATTATTTTTTTCGGTTCTAAAATTTCCATTTGATTCTCTTTTGTATCTTCTATCTCTTGGCTGGAGTTTCTTTTCTTCCCCCCTCTTTTTCAAGTGTGTTTGTGGCTGCTCATCGAGTTACTCTTGCAATAGCTGCTTTAAAGTCTTGTTAGTTACTCTGATTATTGTGTTCGTCCGGGTGTCACTGCCTGTTGATTATCTTTATTCATTTGCTGAGACCATTATGGTTCTGAGATGCCGAGGGGTTTTCAATAGGAACCAGGACTTTTGGGGTATAATGAGTGAGACTCTGGGTCCTGTCTGGACCTTCTGTTTTGGGCTGGTTTTCTGTGACTCCTTCACTTGGCAGGGGAAGGGGGCACCACTTGCAGGTGTGGTGGAGAGTCTGGGCTCCACACCGGGCCTCTGCTGGGGCTCGTGGTGGTTCCTCCTTACTTCCACGCTGGAGGGGTCTGGCTCCTGCCTGGGAGGGAAGAGCAGGAGAGCCCCTGTTCTCCCCTGGCTGGAGCAGCAGACTGTGTGTGCTACTATCCAGAAAGGCTGGGCTGCTGGTGCCCTGGTGTGTGTGCTGGCTCCTCCCAGCGGAGGAGTGTGGTGGTGTGCAGGAGTTTCAGTGGCTTGTCTGGAGTGGGACAGTTATCTAGAGTGTTCCTCTCAGGAGGCTGCCCCTCTCCTGGCCTTTCGGCCAGAGAGAGCTGGGTTTGAGGGGAGGCACCAGCTTGGTGCCTGCTGGTGTTTCTGGGTATTTCTGGGCTGCCCTGTCTCCAGCTCCCTATCTGGGGGACAAGGCAAACAGATTGCTTAGGGTCTCATCTCTGGGCTGCTCCGCCATCCCCACGTCTGCGCCTCCTTCCCTCTGCCTTCCAGAGTCTTCTTATGACTTTCACATGTAACACCTTGAACTTGAGTGCACATAGCGGGAGGAGGAAGGCAACGTCTCCCAGAAGCAGAGTCCTCCCAGCTATGACTCAAATATAGAATTTTTTTAGGAATCATACATTTATTTTAAGCTCCATTTTGATAGTCAAGTGTCGTCAGGTTCCCAGGATGCTGGGGAGCTTTGTATGATCGGCGGATACTTTGCCCTTTGGATTTCTGGCTTTGTGTTTTATTGTGCCAGTTAGAAGGCATCCGTGTTGTGCCCCCTGATGGCGTGTCCGCAGTGCTCATTCCTGCCTGGGGCTTTAGGGCTAGGTTCAAGATTGGGTGTGGATTTCAGGTAACATCTTTATGATGTCAGAGAATGACTCTGCCCCAGGTTTTGCTGTTTTTCATCGAGGACGGGCGCTTGATCTTGCCAGATGGCGCTTTGCTCCCAATGGGAACGTGGCGTGCCTTTACTCCTGGTTGTGCGTGCCGGCTTTAGGCACCGTCCCTGATCTTGTGCACGGAGCTGATGCTGAGCCTCTGGCCAGAAGGACAGCCTGCCCTTAGGGGTTTCATATGACAAAGGCTTATGCAGGCAAGAGCGCTCTTTCCCCCTCATATACAGGTTCCCGGGAGTCCCTTTATGGTTGATGTGGCAGAGCTGACCTGTGTGACCCCGACAACCCAGTCTCCATCTGTTCATTGGTCTGTCATTGTCAGCTCGTGTCCCTCATCCTCGGGAATCAAGATGGTAGGTAGAGAGCCGGACATCGCGACTGTATTCCCAGCAACAGAGAGAGAAAAGAAAGAACAGGCTCTCTTTAAGGAACATTCCAGTAGCTCTCACATGACCTTTCTCACATGGTCCATCTCATGGGCCACCTCTAGCTATGAGGGGAGCCTGGACCATGAAGTGTTTATTTTAGGTCTCCAAGCCCCAGATGAGAGGAAGGGGGTAGACGGTTGTGCTAGAGGTGGAAGCGATCTGAGGACAGTGGCCAGCTCTGCCTTTGCCTCTCTCCCAGCCCCTGATGCCACTGCCCAGCACGATGCCCTCCCTTCTGCCCACTCTGCCTTTTCAGGCCCTCCTTCCCTCCTGGCGCAGCCCTTGGTCTGTAGCAGCCCTTGGTCTGTAGCTGTCTCTGTTTCCCTGTTCTAACTCCAGATCGTGCAGGGCAGCTGAAGTGGTGGACAGACCAGGTCCCAGAGCTGTGTCCTCAGCCGGGATCCCCAGAGAGAGAGCCGTTCCAGAGCGTTAGGAGAATGGGGTGTGTGTATGGTAGACGCGGGGGAAGCAGCCTCCCTTGTTGGATCTGATACACCACTTTTATAGGAGCTGATGAGGGATTTCAGTGCCAAACCCTGGACAGTGGGACTCAGAGGTTTGGCAGGCACGATGGGGAGTGGGGCCCCGCAGTGCCGTGACCCCTTCTCAGACAACACCTGCCTGTCTCCCCGTCTCATGGGATGGAATTCAGATAGCGCTGGACTGACCCAAAAAGGCAGAGCTGGGATGTGAGGCCAGGCCGCCGTCCTTTTCCCCAGGGACCCTCCATGCAGGGCACTCCCTCAGGGGGTAGGTGCCACCCCCCAAGCCCCTAAACATGGCTCAGTGGCCTAGGTTGCCGGGGTGTGGGGCTCCAAGACACCGGTCCTTCCCAGGAAAGAGTGTGAAGCTGTGTGTTCTTTGGGCCCTTCGTGGATGGCCTTCTGTAAGGTCCAGCTCTACCTGTGTCCCCACCTTGTGCCTCACAGCATTTCCAGAAGCTGCCAAGTGTGTGCACGTTGCTGATGCTGCTCTGGGCCTCTCCACGTGGCAGCGTGTGTGAGCCCTGCCCGAGCTCCCTCCACCTCTGGGCATGGCCAGCCACCCGCAGGCTGTCTCAGTCTCGACCCCTAGGCCCCCCCAGCTAAGGAGGGGCTTGGCGTCCACCTGCCAGACCCCAGTCACCCACCAGCTCCCACACCGTCTGTAGAGGCTTTTTAGGCCCTGGGGCTGTCCTCACACGCTGAGCCTGGACACGTCCACGTCTGGAGTCTGTGTGCTCGGCCAGGACCTGAGGCCTCTCCCCCCAGCTGATCTGACGTCCAGAGTGGCCGTAGGCCATTGCACCATTGTGAGGTCCCTCCTCTGCATTGGAGTCTATCCCTTTGGCAGCCATGTGGGTGGACCTCAGGGTGCAGCCAGGCCTTGCTCCAGGCACAGGCTCCGGGCCCGAGACCAGGGCCGGCCTCCCCTGACCCACGCTTGGCTCCAGCCACATCTCACGGTGCTGGGCCTGGCCTTCCCCCTCAGCAGCTTACGTGGAAACACGGTCCCTGCGGAAGCTTCTCAAGTGTGTGGGGTATGTTGTCGCAGGCCCATCAAGGGCTCTGTGGAGTCCGGAGCCCGCACACCCCGCCCCAGGCCTCCGTGGCCATTTCCCAGAGGACTGCTGGGCTCTGGGTGACTGTTGTCGCTGCCGCCGCTCCCACTGTCCTCCTGAGGTCGTCGCAGGGGATTGTGGCTGTTCCGGGCAGAGACGTGGCCTCACGGAAAGGGTCTGTGGTCTCGCAGGGTCACTGGCTGCGTGCTCTGGGCTGGGGGATGCCAGGTGCCTGAGGGCTCTGCCGGAGTTCCTCTGGGAACGGAACCGGCTGCTGCTGAGGGCCTGGGGCCAGAGCAGAGCTGGGCTGGAGGGATGAAGCAAGGGAGGGAGGGAGGGGCTTCTCTTGTCCTGTCTCTGCCTGTGTTTGCTGTTCTAAGCCGGCTGTCCTCCCTAATTCTACAGGGGATCGCAACGCCGATTTTTCTCCCTTTGCTTTCTGAAGCAGGGTGGGAAGGGGCGTGAGAGGGACTGAGGGAGGGGCCACTGATACAGGTGCGGCCGGCTGGTCAAGGGCCAGGGGGTTGAGGTCAGGCAAGGATCCCTGGGAGGAAGAGAGGCAGAGTCTGCATGAGGAAACTGGGTCCTCAGAAGAACGATGGAGTCTCTGGGGCAGCCGCGCTCCTCTGGAAAAGCCTAGATGTTTATTCCACTCTCTGCGGGGAAAGAAAATCTGACCCCCATAGAGAACGAAGAAATGAGAAGACAAGACCAGGGGGAAATGCAGTGTTGTTTGTCTGTCTCTGTGAGATCATGGGAGCCTGTCGGTCCTGGGGAATGGGTTTTTGCAGCCCATCTTGAGGTCCATCTCAGCGCCGTGTTGGGCAGTGGGATGGCGAGTGAGGCCGGACCATCCTGTGTTTCCTGCCTGTCAGCCCTGCACAGGGCAGCTGGGGCACACGGGTCGGGGGCAATGGAGGAGGGTTGCCACGGTGGCCTGGGTGCTCTGATGGAGATGCGGGCCCCTTCCCAGTGCTCTGGGAGCGAGTCACCCGGGTAATGACAGGCCAGGTCTGGGCACAACCTGCCGGGGCTTGCGGGCCAGGCAGGATCCGCAGGACCAGACTGCGCACTGGCGCACGGGGGGAGGTGCCCGGGCCCTCATGCAGGCAGCTCCCTGGCGTCGACCTCGGGGTGATTGAGGACTGGCGGGGAGGACCCCACTGTGTCACACAGGCCTGTCTCTCCTGTCCAGGAGCGGCTGCTTATGAGTCTTCTGCCCCGGAATGTTGCCATGGAGATGAAGGAGGACTTCCTGAAACCCCCCGAGAGGATTTTCCACAAGATCTACATCCAGCGGCACGACAATGTGAGGTAGGGCTGACGCCGGCCGGCGGTGGTGGGCCTCGGGGAGCTCCAGTGAGGGCGGTGTGGGAGGAGGAGGAGGCGATTGCAGGGACGGGCGTTGATGGAGAGGGTGAGGGCGAGGGGATGGTGGGAAGTGTGGGAAGCGGAGGTGATGGATACGGGCTGCTGAGGGACGTAGAGAAGGTGACGGAGACAGGAGGCGATGATGGGGGTGGGGTGGGGGAAGGAGGTGAGGGGTAAGTGTAGGGGTGCGGATGATGGCAGAGGTGGGAGGCCGTGGGCCGATAGGGGTGGAGGGTCCCCCGTTTGAGGGGAGGAGGGGCCGAGTGTGGGTCGGGAGGCCCAGGTGAGCACCTGCTGGCTGGGAAGCAGGTCCCATGGAAGGCGGGCCAGGAGAACACTTGGCTGGCAGTGTCACAGCCACTCTGCCCCCCAACTCCTCCCCTCCTGTTAACTGCATGGGCTCAAGAGTGGAGAGGGTTGGCACTCTGGCCCTGAGCTGGTTTGGGTGGCGGAATTTGGGCTGGAACTTGGCCCACATCGGGGTGACAGCTGAGCATTCTGCTTGGCGCCGGGGCCTGGGTAGGTCTCCTCTTGCCCACACTCTGCCTCTCCCAGTAGCCCCAGGAGGTAGGGATTGTTCCCATTTTACAGGTGAGGAAACGGCCTTGCCCCAGACACACTCTGGTGTTCGTGTGCTTGTCTTTAGAGACCCAACTAAAAATAACTGTGCTCCATTCCATCGTGCCTTCCCTGGGAGAGCACTTCCACTAGCTAAGTGTGGCACTTTACATAGGTGTCACTCAGGCAGGCGCTGGTGGCTGCCACGCGGCCCTGCAGACACCACAGAGTAAAACCCTCCTGGTTGTGTTGAGTTCTGTGGACTGAGTCCCCAAAGGCGCTGACATTCACCTAGACTTCCCCTTCATCCCCTTTCTCTCCATGGTGGGTAAGGACAGGGCACGGTGACCCAGCCCCCTGCTGAGACCAGACCACCAGAACAATCCAGGGAGGGCCTGAGGGAGGGGCGTAGAGCATCTGCACACAGCAGGGAAGGCATAAGACCTCAAGGACCTCCTGGGGCTGCAGGTAGGGGGTTGAGTCTGGTGCTCAGTGCCCATGTGCCTTTCTCTCCCTCTTTTCTGGCCTATCCTCTGGGGGGGGGGTTTCAGGAAGTCACCATTTCCCTCCACCCACATCCCCTGGGGGGGTGCCACATTCCCAGGAGGTGCACATGTGACAGCTCTGAGATAAGAGAGGAAGCCGAGACTGGGTCCCTGTCCTTGATGGCACGAGCCCCAGCCTGGCTCCCCTGGCCACGCTCGCACAGGGTGAGAGGTGCCTTCCTCTAGCCCAGAAGTGGACATCTCACTGTCCTCCTCACCATCCTTGTTAGAGTCCCTCACTGGTTCCCCACCCCATCAGGATTAAAGACCCAAGTCAGTACTCCACTCACGACTAATAGGCTGATGCCTTCAGGAACAGTGGTGTAAGGACATCTGCAAATCCTCTCCTCCGTAGAAGCCTTGACAGTACTGACAAAAACTGTCAGAGTCCACGTTGTCAGAGCACCGGACATGAGCCAAAGCCTGAGGAATCCAGGAATGGGTATTTAAGAGAAACAGCTAAATCTTGGCAAAAACAGCGAGCTTTGTAGAGTTCTCACTCACCCTGTTCACTGTTTTTAGCTCTGCGATGGCTTTGAAAACCGCCCGCTGCAATCCCAGTGAGAACCTGCCCACTGACAGCCACCTGAGGGGACAGAATGGGGTTAGGGCTTTGACACATTCTCAGAGAACTGTCCTTATTTGACTGTCTGGGAATTCCCTGGAAAACCTTGCTCAAGGCTTGTCTTTATTTGACCTGACTCAACACTCAGTGCGAACAGCTTTTGCCCTGGGACATTTGTTAAAAACAATCAGGGACAATTGTTTTAACATCATAGCTGTCACAGGCAGTGATAGCAGCCGAGGCCAGCAGCAGGGCACTAAAATCTTAAAACTGGGGAACGAGATGTCTGTCAGGGGCTTTGAAAGGCTCTGCGAATGTTTCTTGGAATTAGAAGATCATGCCCAAGGGTAGGGCCGTGTGCCTGCTCAGGAAGGACCACGAGGACTCTGAGCTGTCTTTGAGGTCTTGAGGCTGACCTTGAGGCTGTGTGCAACCAGGAAGAGCAGAGTCAGGCAGAGCTGGAATCTGCGTGGCTACGTGCCTGTCATCAAGGACTGAGAGACTTAATGGCTGCAGGCATGTGAGGAAATTTCTGGCTAGCCATTAACGGGCCATTAGGCTAACCGACCAGAGGTTTTAATGGTCTCACATGAGAATTTGTTAGAAAAGTTACTGAACAACAGCAATGAAAATCACTGAACAGATAACAGCATAAATAGCAACAAGAACAACCCCAATCCTGAGGGTGGCGGTGTTCTCGTTTTCAGACTTGCCACATTATACTATTTAGTTTTCCATAAGAACATGTGTGATATGCAAAAACACAAACAGTGTGGCTCACACAGGGATGAAAACAGCAGTCCGTAGAAGCTGTCCTGAGGAAGCCTGCACATTGGACTTCTAGACAGAACTAATCCCCCATTTTTTAAAAAGTTTTTATTTGATGGGCCGCCTGCGTGGCTCAGTGGGTTAAGCCTCTGCCTTCGGCTCAGGTCATGATCCCAGGGTCCTGGGATCGAGTCCCGCATCGGGCTCTCTGCTTGGCGGGGAGCCTGCTTCCTCCTCTCTCTCTCTCTGCCTACTTGTGATCTCTCTCTGTCAAATAAATAAAATCTAAAAAAAAAAAAAAGTTTTTATTTGAGAGAGAGAGCATGAGTGGGGGAGGGGCAAAAGGAAAGGGAGAAGCTGACTCCCCGCTGAGCAGGGAGCCAGACACAGGGCTCCATCCCAGGACCCTGAGACTGCGACCAGAGCTGAAGGCAGATGTTTAATTGACTGAGCCACCCAGGGGCCCCTAAATCACCTGTTTTACATACATTCAAAGAACAAACTGTGTCCAAATAAAGGAGAACACGAGAAAGACTTCCAGACATTCTGACTTTGAAAAATAGAATACTTAGAACGAGAAGGTCACTGCGGGGTGGGGGAGGGGGGGTTCCACATTGAGCAGATGTGAGCAGGTTGAAGAAAGAATTGGTGAACTTGAAGACAGACAGTTGCAATTCTGGAACCTGATAAACGGAATGAACAAAGGAGAGAGAACAGAGGCTCAGAGACTCCGGGGACACAGGCCAGTCCAACAGCACACCCATGACGAGTCCCAGGGGAGGGGAAAGGGGCAGAAAGAATATTTGAAAAAGAATATGGCTCAAAATATCTCAGCTTCTATGGAATGCTCTCGCCTACACATTGAAGAAGCTCGGTTAGGGCACACACAATGAAGATACCACTAGACATGTGGTAATCCAGCCCTAAGGGCCAGACACTAGGAGCAAAGCGGGAGAGAAGGCGTGTCACAGGCAGGTGACCGCCCACAAGACCAATGTGCGATTTTTCACAGGGAGGGCTGGAAGCAGGGGCTGGGGTGGCATGTTCAAGGGCGGAATTCTGTACCGGGCAGAATCATAGTGAGGGCACCGCTGTGCTGCGTGAGGCGGAGGGAGGCTGTGTGGTGGGGGGTAGGGGGTGGGCCCCGCTGTTGCGACCCACTCCACTCTGTAGGAAACGGACGCCCACACACCAGGCTTCCATCCCGCAAGGTGAGGTCCTGTCCCGATGCGCACCCCTGCCAGGGCTGCACCGCGGGGCTCCGACAATACCGGGGCTCTGTCACCTTGTCAGCCAGCAGGAGGGAAAATGGCGAGAAGGCCCACTCGCATCCTACAGGCATGTGCCTTGTGCTCACTGGCTGCTGGTCACTGGCCTTCTTGGGCTGGGGGCAGGTCTGGTGGCCGTGGAGTGTGCCCCGCCCGTGTCCTGGGGGGTCAGCAGGGGCCCTGTGGCCGCACGGGCATTCCCGCTTCCCCCAGCCGTGTCTATAACGGGAGCACGGACACGTCCCTTCCAGCCTGCCCTGAGGAGTAAGCGGGTTCATGTTGGGGGCTTGTGAGGGCAGCCCTCTGCGCGGCTCTGGGCCCCCGCGTGCCTGTCGGGGAGGCAGCCTGGTGCCTTTTCCTTGCAGCATCCTCTTCGCGGACATCGTGGGCTTCACAGGCCTGGCGTCGCAGTGCACGGCCCAGGAGCTGGTGAAACTCCTGAACGAGCTCTTCGGCAAGTTTGACGAACTGGCCACGGTAAGCACCGCCCCCAGAAACGCAGCCCCCGTAAGCACCACCGTAAGCGCGGGTCCCTGGAGCGGCCGGGGGGGAGGGGCAGCTGGCTGTGCCTGGTGGGCTCCAGGGTACCACAGCTCCCGCCCGGCCACCCGAAATTCCTTTGCACAAAAGAAGGTGCTCGCCCTCATGTACCCCGAGTGCCTCTGTCTGGGTCCGAGCTGGAAGATGCTGGCTGGGTCGTGAGGCCCTGCGCAGGCTGCCCTGCCTTGAAGGTCACGTCTGGGGGCAGCTGGTGACGTGTGACGATGACAGACCGCCCCGCCTGTGGCAGGAGAGTGTTGACGTGCTGAGACCTTCCTGGGACGGGTCATGTTCAGCCCCTCAGAGGTCAAGCCCAGACCTTGCTAACCAGCCCAGCCTGGGCTTTGGTGTGGAGGCAGCTGCCCGCCTGTGTTCCTTAGACCTTGACCCCTTCCCTGTCCTGTAAGGACCTGGGGGGACCCAGGGACGTAGAGCCACGCCCACCTGCCCAGCCAGCCTCCCTGGAGGTGGATGCAGAGGGTTCCCGAGCAGGTGGTTGTAGGGGAGGGGAAACTCTGCTCAGGGTCAGGACTCTTCTCAGGGAAGGTCGCCGTTAAAGGGCTTGCTAGAAAGAGTGGACAACGTTGTCATGCTGGCCGCAGTCTCGGCACTGAGCACAGGCGGGAGAACGCTCGGTGTCGGGGGCGAGCGCCCGGCCAGACCTGGACGCTGGCCCCGCCTCCTCCCTGCCGTTTCCTTGAGGGGCGGCAGGAATCAGAGACGTCCAGCTGTCATGTCCAGATGGGTCGCGCTAGAACCCTTCCTCCTAGGGCACACCGGCGAGGTCCCGGGCCCGTGCCCCGTGGGACCCCGTTGGTCAGAGGCTGCTTCCTCTTTCCTGAGGATGAAGGTAGGAGGCAGCTCGGCACCGCGGGCGGGCGCTGCTTTTGGCCAAGAGGTCATACCACGGGGCGTGGAGCTGCCTGTCCCCGGAGTCCCAGCGGCCTGTGCTCAGGGGTCGGGACGCTGGGCTCATGCCCTGGGAGCTGCTGGGGCTCTGCCCACATGAAAGGTCGCCGGTGCCTTCTCCCTATCTGACACCTGTGGTTTTGGGGAAGTACACGGAGGAGTGAGGAGTGTGAGTGTGTCCCGTGTGGCGTGGGTGGCTCGCTGGCACGCGGGAGCTCAGCACCTCCTATGTGTGGGTCAGAACACATGTTCTCGCTGGCACGCGGGAGCTCAGCACCTCCTATGTGTGTTTCGTCCAGTGTCCGGGCGCCTGGTGGCCCGGGGCTCTCTTGCTGCTGCTCTGAGCTTTCCTGGGCCGCACCTGCCTCCTGCCCTCATGAGGAAGCTTCTGGATGAGGCTTCTGTGGCCACCAGGCTGTCGGAGCACCTGCCGCTGGTGGAAGGCTGTGCCCTACCCCACTGTCCCCGTCCGTCTTTCCAGCGACCAGAGGTCCGCATCCTGGCCGCAGTGGGGACGTGTTTGCTTGGTGACTCGGTGATCTGGCCGCCCCCCTCGCCCCCCGCTGTCCCCAGGGTACTGTCACCACCCACTCTGGTCTTCACAACGGCGTCTGCCCCTGCCCCCAGGACAATGGTGTGTGTAGACTCTCTCCGTGTCCTTCGGCTCGTGTTCTCACTCTGCGTCTCTGCTCACGTCCCGGCCGCTCGTTTTCTCAGGTACCGAGCGAGGGCTCTGCTCTGTCTGCGTCGCCTTCCGTCCTGCCCGCTTTGCTGCCTGTGGACTCAAGCTCTGCTCTTCGATTCCTAAACATTTAGGGTTCTTAGGTCCTCTTGATGGATTAACTCTGTCTTTTTTGGGGGGGAAGGGGCAGAGGGAGAGACAGAATCATGACAGACTCCCGCTGTGCCTGGAGCTGGATGAGGGGCTGGATGCCAGGACCCTGAGATACGGCCCGAGCCGAAAGCTGATGTCGGGCACTCAGCCGACTGTGCCACCCAGGCGCCCCTAATTAGTTCTTTGTTAAGAAATGACCCTCTGGGGACCCCTGGGGAGCTCAGTTGGTGAAGAGTCTGCCTTTGGCTCAGGTCACGATCTCAGGATCCTGGGATCGAGCCCCACATTGGGCTCAGGCTCAGGGAAGAGTGTGTTCTTCCTGGTGCCCCCCCACCCCCACTTGTGCGCTCACACTCACGCTCGCTCTCAAATAAATGAGATCTTGAAAAGAAATGTTCCCCTTTACCTGGAACCTAATTTTGTCCTGTGTTAGTATGTCCGTTCCAGCTTCCCTTTGATTATTGCCAGGAAGCGTGTCTTTTTCATCTTTTTCCACACACACCCCCATTGGTGTGTGTCTTTTTAAAGGGCTGGGTTTGCCTTTTCTACCTGGAATCCGACAGTCCGTGTTCGCCGGGCTGTGCAGCCCACCGTGGTTCATCTCCTGTGTTCCTTGTCGTTGTTTTACTTTTCCTGCGGGTCTGTGTGTTCTGTGACGCGGCCCTTGGGCCCGTGGCGGCCGACGCGTTGGCACTGTAACTGGGGACTGCCCGGGGTCTGCGGCAGAGCCCTTGACTCCGTCTGCGAGGCTCACGGGACACGTCCGCCTGCTTGGCCCTTGTGACGTTGTGCACGTTGTACGTTTTGTCATAAACCCTGTTCTGCATTGTTACCGTTTTTGCTTGTTCCCCTTTGATGCGAGGAGGCACAAGGGCGAGGTCGTGGGGGTTCGCTCCGCTGCTGTCAGCCGCGTGGGATCGGTGGCCGCGTCTCCACGCGGTTCCGCTGCCGAAAACAGGGCGTGCGGGCTGGCCACGAGTCCTCTGGGTGTCCGTGTTTCTGAGAAAACTCTTTGTTTTGTCCTCATGTGTGGAATTTCTTGTCACCGGTGCAGAATGTGGCTAACAGGCGTTTGCTGCGCTCCTGCCGAGGACGGCGCTCTGGTCCTCCGGACGAAACATGCGGAGGATGCCTTTTTTCTCTGACCGTTTGCAAGATTTTCCCTTCACCGGTGGCTTTAAGCGATTTGATTTGGACGTGCCTCCGCGTGGTTTCCTTCCTGGTGTTTGGGGTCCCACCTCAGTCGGTTTATGGTCCCATCATCTTGGGAGGAAGCTCTCGGGTTTTCCTGATGGGCCGTGCCCATGACTATTGTGACCCGCATCCGTGAGGGCGTTAGTTATCTTGGTTTGTCCGAGTGTTCCCATGGAAACCAGTCCGAGGGCGGAGCTCGCCGGGGTGTGTGTCTCCTCCCTCCTTCCTGTACCCCGTCCTTCCTCCTCCTCTGGCTTCCCTTGGGCTTGAGCCAGAGGCCGGGACCCGCAGGGACCCTCGTGTCTCATGCCTTGGCTTCCTGGCCCAAGAAACATGAGAGGCCCGATGGCCCGCCGTCCCTCCCTGCCCCGCCGTCCTCTTCCCGGGAGCCACTCCAAGCTGTTGGTGCCGCGAGCCTGGAGTGTGCCCGCCCGTGGGCTGGGGTCACGGCTGGGTGGCGCTCTTTCCGCAGACGTGCTGTGCACGCGCCATCAGGCTTGCATGTGGCAGACCGATGGGGGAGCGAGGGGCTCTGGCTAGAACATCTAGCGCAGAGGGGAGGCTGGCGGGGCCAAGCGCGGTCAGGACCGGGACCAGCTGGGAGGAGGACACGGCGTGCGTGTCGTCCATGCTCCACTCGGGCTGACCCCAGGGCGGATGTGAAGTGGTCGGCGTATGTGCAGGATGGCCCGAGGGGCGCGACCCCCGCTTCCAGAAGGCGGGTGCACACATGGGTGCGTGCCGTCGGGGGAGGCTGGAGGGACAGTCCCAGAAGGACTGTGGTTCCCACAGAGTCGTGCACCCCGAGTTACTTTTCGGAGCTTCCTGCATTGCTGGGGATGCGCCTTTCCTTATTTCTTAACGAGCAGGAAATCAACATCGTTTCCTGAAAAACCAGTAGGTGTCTGGATTTCCGAGGAACTTGTCGTTTCTGGGAGGCCACCCGCAGAAACTCATCCTCACCCTGCCTGCCGGCGGCCGCCCCAGTGCTCCTGCGAGGTCCCTGGGAGGCGGACGCGGCAGTGGGAGTCTGGGCGTCCTGCTCCGGGCGCTGTTTCCTTGGGCAGACACTGCCTTTGCCGCTGGAGAGCTGGCTGCACGCCCATGGGCCGCGCGGGGTTGCGGTGGCCCAGGGACCACCAAGGGAGCATGTCCCTTGGGTGCCCCTGAAGGTGGAGTCCCAAGCAGACAGCTCAAACCACGTTGGCATATCCTTTCTGGGAGAAGGTTCTGTGGCCCCTGGAGTGTGACCGTTACTGCCTAGACCATGGGTGTTGGCAGGGGGTTGGGGACCTTCTCTCAGTGTCACTCACCCGGTCCTTCCTGCTCTGCCTGCTTCTGGAAGTAGAGATGTAGCCTGGGGCTGTGCCTCAGGGGTCCCTCAGGGAGGGGACGTCCACTCGCGTCCACGGCGGCTCAGAGCCGTGGCATGGCTCCTCCTAGGAAGGTGTGGGGAGCCCAGCTCATGTGTGGCTCCTGGGCACATGGTCAGGGAAGGTGCAGGGAGAGGCATGGTGGCCTGGGCGGGTGGCCTTGCCTGCCGTGCAGGGGAGGAACTCGGTCGGCCCCCGTGTGACACGGAGGAGGCAGGGCTCCCTGCGCTGTGCCTGCTGTGAACAGTCTAGCCTAGACGACAGGGGCAGCCTGCACAGGTCAGACCCGGCCTGCCCTCAGGGGCTCCAGAACTCGTGTATGGAAATTTCTCTCTTGCGTGGAGGCAGGGGCCATGGCAGCGTCTGCTGGACACCGTTCCCTCCTGTTGACACTGGCTGACGTATGTCCTGTCTTGCTTGGTCACGCCTTTCCTCCCGGTCCTAGACATCACCACACCTTGTGCCCACAGCCTTGGCCCCCGCCCTTCTCTTGAGCATGAGTGGCCACAGCGATCCTTGTCACCCGCCCAGTGGACGGATTCCCTCTGGGCCCCGTCACCTGCTTGTCACGTCAGGCATCCTCCCCTCAGCAACCTTGTTCCAGGCAGGGCACGTGTCTGGGTGTAATTTGTGGAGGGCACTGACCGCTGGCACAGAGCCGGTGCCATGTGTCACCGCCCCTCAGTCCCAGAGGACGGGCACGGCAGGGTGTGCGGGAGGCTGAGGGGCTGGGGGTGCGTGGCTGGGCATCACTCGGGGTTTCCATGGAGGAAGAGGTGAGGCAGATGAGGGGACGTGGACCCTGGGCTCTGGGTGTCCCCTGTCCTGGCAATCCGGCCTGGGGGACAGAGCGGGTTTGCGGCTGGGTGTGGGGGTGCAGAGAGGACGTGGGGCTGTGGGCTCCGGACCCCTGGGGTTGGTGGAGTTGGAACAAGCAGGACCTAAGTCAGCAAGTTCCCCCGATGCCCGTCAGGACATAGACAGAAAACGGGAACATGCACATCGGACCCTTGGGGATGGCCCCCTCCCGTCACCTCCCCTGAGCCCGCAGGCCACCAGCGCTGGGGCTCAGGTCCCCGGGTTTTTCCTGTGTGTTGGGGAACCTCCCAGAAGCTCCAGGGGTCTCCCCATTCCTCCCCTGGCGTGCCCATCGCCAGCTCCCGGCCAGGTGCAGCGTGGCTCGTGGTTCCCGTGGCTCCCACCCTCCTACCGCCTTCCTGTCACGTCACACCCAGGTGCTGGGGCAGGTGCCCCAAAGGCGGGCTGCTTGGCCATTCACTGGGGTGCGTGTTTCCTGTCATTTTCCCGCTCTTGTTAGCTCGTGATTCTCTAAATAGAAGAATGTCCTCGCGTCCGCTGATGGGTGATCCTCTGAAACCGTACATGCTTGGCCTGCGGCACGGGTCCGTTTTCCAGATGAGGGATCCGTGCCCTAGAACCCTCCAGGGGCGAGCGGGGAGGTTCTTCCTCCTGGTCCTCCGTTCCGGGTGTTACTGGGGTCTGTGGACTGGGTGTGCGTGGACGCCTTCCGTCCGTTCCCGCTGCTCACGCTCACGCCTCCCACCTGTGGGTGCCCATCCTGGCGCCTCCGGTCTCCCTTGGACAGGACTGTCCCCCCCCCCCCCGTGTCCAGGGACAGCACCACACAGACGTGGCTTCTCCGGGAGCCCGGCTTCCTCCCAGCGCGGGTAGGTGGTCCGCTGGTCCTCGGCATCTCAGGGCACGGGCATGGGCATATTTTTTTGAAAAATAACACCAAATTCTGAGTTTGTGTGGGTGTTTCCAACTCACCGAATAACTTTACTCCTTCGATTTTTGATCCCGTGTCTCCGCTCCCTCGAGGCTGGAAGCCTGCAATGGTGAGGTCGTTGGCTTGTTTTGTGGGTTTGTATGCCATCGGGTCAGAAGAAGGTCGTCAGTGCCAACCCCACAACAGGGCCGCCATGTGCAGTTTCGGCCTCCGCCGGCTGTTTCTTTGTTTTGTCCTTGGCTGGCATTGCACAGGACACGCTGTCGCATCCCCTGGAATAATGATCTGCGCAGCCGCATTCGGACGCGGTCCCCTTAGGCCTGTTTCATTTTGGTTTCTGGGCGTCGCTGTTTGCAACTCAATTTTTTTTACAAGGAGATTTATTTAGGTATTTGAGAGAGATGCAGAGGGAGAGAGAGCTCCCAGCAGACACCCCAGGAAGCACAGAGCCCAGTGTGGGGCTTGAACTCACGGCCTAAGATCGCGACTGGAGCTGAAATCAGGAGTCAGACGCTCAAGTGATTGAGCCCCCCAGGTGCTCCTCAATGTCATTTTTAAAAGTGTGTAAACTATTTGCACCGCTCGGTTCCTCAGTGCAGACCTGAGACCAGGGGTGCGAGGGAGGACCGCCCTATCCGCGTGGTCAGACATCGTGCTGCATGCGGGGCTGTCCTTTGGGCGCTCTCTCTGCCCCAGGCACCAGGAGCAGGTGCGCACGAGTGACCGTCTGCTGCAGGGAGGTGCCCGTGACAGGCCCATCTGGGGCTATGAGACGGCCCCACAGCAGGACAGACATCTGCTCCTGGACAGTCCCTCTTGGCGGGCGGAGGATCTGGGACAGCAGGCCCCCATCTCACCCAGGGGCCCGCGCAGACGAACAGAGCGGATGCCGTAAGTGGAATGGAAGTGGAAGCAAGTGGTGACGTGTGCCCCTCCCAGCGATTGCCACTGCTTACGTCATAGGGTCCCTGCCCTCCGAGGCCCCCCAGCTGCCTGCGTGGCAAGGCTGGCCAGTCAGAGCTCGTCCGCGAGCCTGCAGTCCCAACCCGGCGGGCTCAGCGTGAGGCCTTCCCACCTGGATCCCCCCTAGAGCACCTGGCCACTCCGTCCCCCAGCCTGGGGGGAGGGACAGTCTGGATGTGGAGGACAGAGGTCTCGGGAACAGCTGTGCTGTCGTCGTAAAGGTCTGGGCTCAGCTCCAGGAACCATGGGGAAGATTTTAAATCAAAACACACCAAGGTCAATGAAAACACCTCTTTGGTCTCTCAAGCTGGCCAGCGACAGCCAGGACATCAGACAAGAGAAGGACAAGACGAAATGTTAGCCACTTACTGCCCCCGTCTGCTGGGGGCTGCATCCTGCCCTGGCCCTGCAGCGGCTGGCGAGGAGGAGCTGAGGCTTTGTGCTGGGGGACGGTCACCAAGGTCACGTCTGCCGCTGACAGGCTGCAATCAGGAGGCCGCAGCCCCTGGACGCTCCCTGCTAAGTGGCTTTGCCCACGGCCCTCACGTGGGGATCAGCCGCGCAGAGAAGTAACGGTCACATTCGGGGCTCCCCGCGGGCACCTCCCCACCTTCACGCAGCTCACACGCACCTGCCCGTCCAGACACAGGACACGAAGAGAAGGGCAGGAGGCCGCAGGGGGCACAGGGACGCCCCATGCAGGGGCTGATGGGCACATGTCACTCTTGAGGTACCAGCTCCGGCGAGAGGTGCCTCTCCCGAAATCGTCAGCAAGAATAGTGCCATCCCCTCCGTGGGCTCTTCGGTGTGTGGGGGGGGCGCCTGGAACCCCAGACTGATCACTAGGAGGATGTCCCGACAGCCAGGAACGGGCTGAGGCCCTGCAGCGGCTCATGGTGTCATGCCTGGGCCCTGGGCCGGGGGCCAGGGAGGGTGGGAGAGGAGCTCCCTGTCGCTGCCTGCTTTGACGGTTGGGGACAGGGATGATGGGGACAGTGGGTTCCAGTGTCCAGCTCCAGTGTTGCCCGCTGGCCTGGAGGCTTGAGGAGCGTGGCTAGAGAAGCCTGGGGTCTGACTCCCAGGGCCCAGGCCTCAGCTGTGCAGTGGGGATGTCTGCCGCCGGCCATCTGCCTCTGGGCTCCCCGACATCGTCAATGGGACAGATAGCCCTCAGCTTTGCCTTCCTGTGGGACGCCGGGACGTGCTCTCAGAGCAGGAGCTGTGGGGCTCTGGGCGTGCAGGACATCTCGGGACCTGTGAGGTTCTCACCCGGGACGTGCTGGCGAGACCAGCCCCTTGCAGACGCCCACGGACCCAGGGCCCATGGGACCTCTGCAACGTGGAGAGAAGCCATGCTTCTCAATGCCTGTTTGTTCTGGGAAACGTCCTGCGTTTTCATGAAATTTGATGTGTGGACGGCAGCGGATTTGCTGTCACTTCCGTGCGTTAGTGCGTTTTGTAGAGCGTCTCTGCTGTATGCGTGGACGTCCACGGACAGGACCCACTCATGGGAAGGAGTTTTGTGAGGCCGTCCATTATTTTAGGGATGTGAACGGGAGCTTTCCAGGGGCGTCTGAGATGTGACACAGCAGAGACCGATGGGCTGGCCCACGGCAGGCGTCAGAAATCCCCTCCCCAGCGGGACTGAGGTGGGTGCGACGCTCTTAGTGTTGGATAAATGCCGTAGGGGATGTTCTGGGTGTCCCTGTGGGCGGCGAGGTCAGGGTGCAGACCCTGGAGGTCCCCTTGGGTCTTGGGGCCCTGGCAGGTGATTCTTTGGTGACAGCTGCCCACATGTCCCTTGGACCTGCACCTCAGGGACACTCGGGGGCGTGCACCTGCCGGACGGCGGCTGGTGTGTGTGTGTGAGGGGTCTGATGTGATGCACAGGGTCCATCACGAGGCCGTTGGAGCTGGAGGCCAGGAGGGGCGCTGTGCTGGGCACCCGGGGCAGAGAACGTCCCCGGGAAAGCCGCTGGCTCTGACTTGGGGCAGCTTCCGACCTTGAACAGGGCGCAGGTTTGGCCAGGTGGGTGAGGGATGGGCGGGGTGGACCCTCGTGTAGGAACAGGCCTGTGTGCCGGCGTGCCCAGGCCCCAGGCGTATCACTAACGTTCACTCTGTCCTCTCTGCCCCAGGAGAACCACTGCCGCCGCATCAAGATCCTCGGGGACTGCTACTACTGTGTGTCGGGCCTCACCCAGCCCAAGACCGACCACGCCCACTGCTGTGTGGAGATGGGGCTGGACATGATCGACACCATCACGTGAGTGTGCGCGGGGACCCGTCCCCCTCGCGCCCCCACGGGCCCCACGGGCCTGTGCTGTGCCGGCCGGTCTGTCCCGAGGGGCCGGCGGTCCCCTGGCCGCAGAGAGCCAGGCTGCACGGTGAGGTGGGGTGGGGGAGCTCCCCGCCCCCCGAGCTGGGTGCCCCGAGACCTCCCGTCTGCGGTTTGCTGGGACGTGTCCTCGTCCGTGGCCATCTGGGGCATGGTCCGGGATGCATCAGGGGTGCAGGAAGGTACCAGCTTCACCACTTAGCCGGACAGGACACCCAGGGAGTCAGCGAGGAGGTCTGGCTCCAGTCCAGCCACATCCCAGTGAACGGGGCTGCACATGCTCATCTTCGTGCGCAGGGGTGTGCGGGGGCTATCTGTTGAGGGGGCTCCGAGGGAGCAGGGGCGCCTCCTGGGAGCACCGTGCGCCGGCCGGACCTTTCACGCCAGCCCCGTCCTGTCGGAGCGGGATGAAGAATGAGGGACCGTCTGTCGTCCAGGGAAGGCATGGGGCTGGGGGGCTGAGCTGGCGGACGGGCACCCATCTGAGCAGCGTGGAGCAGTGGGTGCGGTCCGGGGGGATGAGGTTAACGGGGACCGGTGTAATCGTCCACACTCGGAGCCAGGAAGTGCTGGCCGCATGGTTGTACAGGAAACACAGAAGAACAGAGAGAGAAATGCAAACCAGGAGGCTTGGCGGGGCTGACCTCGCAGATGGGCCCTGCAGGGCAGGTGTGGGGGCATCCACGAGCGTCCAGGAGGGGGTCCCCGTGCCAGTGGCGGCAGATCTGTGGTGGAGAGACAGACGCCCAGTGCTGGGGTCGGGGGTGGAAGACGGCCCGGGGACGCCAGTGGTCTGCTGCAGCTGAGGGGTTCTCTGGGTGGACGGCGGCTCCAGAACAGGGGGATAGTTGGGGCCAGTTCATGCAGACCCCCTGTGCGGTTTCACGGAGCTCAGGATCGTGGATGCTGCTCGTTCTGGCCCTGGGTGATGCTCACCAGCCGCACATCCAGTAGGGTTGCTCACTGTGCAAATGTGACAGTCCTCCCGCATGTGCGCTCAGGACGGGCTTGCGAGGGGCGGCGTCTCCTGCTGCAGGACGGGGCAGTGCCGAGGATGGTAACAGGGAGGGGAGGGATCTCCTGGAGGGCAGGTGCGTTCAGGCCCCGCCCCCTGACTGGGTGCTGGGCGCTCCCGAGGCTGGAGAGGGGTCGAGCCCGTGTTCCCGGTCCGGCGGGTGTTGGGAAGGTTTCAGTTTCTGAGTTGAGGACCAGGCTCTGGTGCGCAAGTGAAGGCTCAGGGCTCCCAGCCAGGTGGCGGGGGCAGCTTGCGGGGCTGGGGCTCTCCCAGCGGGTGCCCAGCCTCCGGCGCTCTGATGCCCGCACTCCCCGGAAGAGTGGGGGCAGCTCCTCTGCACGGGCCCCTCTGGCTGCCAAGTGTCAGACCTGCGCACTGGGCCGGCGTGCAGGGCAAGGCCGGCGTCTTGCTTTGCGGCCCTGGATCAGGGGGCGTCGGTTCCGCCCTCCAGGACCCACCCTTGAGCTGGCGCGGCTGCCATGGCCGCCGGCAGACCCCGACGCAGCCGACCGGAGCAGGGGTGGCCCAGGGTGGGCGGCCGTCTCTGTGGCTCTGGAGGCCCCTCTCCCGTCTCCTGTGTTCGCGGCACACGTGTCTCGATGAGACCGTCCCTGACGCACGGTTTACTGCGACGTGAGCGTCTGGGTAACTGTCTTCTGGCACCAGGATCCAGACGTGAGGCAGAAGCTTCTGGAAGAGGTGAGGGTGTGCGGGCAGCAGGATTGGGTTACCGTGCCCTTCGCCCCTTCCTGGCTGCCGTGGTGGAAATGCTGTGAAACGAGCAGAAACACCATTTCCTGTTGTCTTGCTCACATTTCCCTGTGGTCCTTTCCTTCGCAAATTTCAAAAAAAAAAAAAAAAATTCCAAAACTTTAACCCTGTTCGGTTTGTTTCCGCACCTCTCACCAAGAAAAGTTAAAATGGAGAGAAAATGCATTTCATATGCACAAAGTTCAGTAGGCGTCAAGGACACGTCCACCGTCAGACCCCCGAGTAAACGTTGCTGTAAACCCCCGACTCGTGGACTTCCGGATGACGCGCACCGGGGGCCCTGGACCCGACGGGAAGTGCTTGGTCGCTGCGGTCCAGGCTCCTCGCGGACCGACTCCCAGTGTTTCTGCACCTGGGTCTGCCGGAGCCGGTTAGCGGCTCGTGGGCTGTGGCCTTGGTCCTGGAGGCGCCAGGGTAGCTGGGCGGCTGTCGGAGCCTGTCAGTGCTCTTTTCCCGCCCTGGATCGCACACAGGGGAACCGAGACCGGGAGAGGGCAGGGGTTGGCTGGGCCGATGGGACGTCCCTAGAAATCAGGGGCCGCCCTGCTCACGTGTGCTCCCCGCGTGGAGCGGCCGCCTTTGCCCATTTGAGGTTCTGAGAGCCAAAGCCTCTGGATGGCCTCCTCGCCAGGCCTTGTGTCCATGTCCTGTCCGTGTGTTCCAGACAGAAGACCACCATTGAAGCCCCTTGTCTTCTTGTAGAGTTTCTAATTAAGATGTTTTAAGGGACCCAGGCACCCCTGAGTCTCTGGTCATTTGGGCCGTCAGCCTGCCTGGTGGCCTGGGTGTGGCCGGGAGCAGTCTCTGACGGACGCTGTTGAACCCTCTCCAGTGATGGGGTCTCAGGGATGGGGGTGAGGATCTGGGAGGGCTTCCTGGAGGCCGCATCTTGGCTGGGCCACATCGTATTAGGAACAAGGCAGGCGAACACACATCAGTGCCAGGTCTTGGAATAGGAGGGAGATTGGTCATTGAGCTCCTGGGCTTCCTGCTGTCCTGGGTGGGGTGGGGTTGGGTTCCTGCATGTGGCGGGGCTGCAGGGCATCTTATGCTGGGAGGGGACAGAGGGAAGGTTGTCCAGCAGGCCATCCCTGTGTGTCTGATGTTTCCTGGTCTCTCTTCTCCCTCGTGACAAGCCTCCTCACCGTGGGGCCCCCATGTCCCAGGCCGTGGCTCGGCCTCCTGGCCCTTTCTGGTTGGGCTTTGCCATGGACGGGGGAGGCCCGTTGGACACACCTGCCACGGGGCCCCCTGTGGACAGGCCGCCGTCCCATGGCTCAGCGCTCTCTCCCACGAGGCCTCGTTGCACTCCTGCCCCTTGGAGCCCACCGAGAGCCCGCTGCTTCCTCAACGGCATGCTTTAGTGTCTTCTGTAATAACATAACTTCTGCTTGCTGCGGGAGAGTGGAAAGCACAGGAAGACAGCATCGGAGGGCCTCGGCACGGCTGCCGCATGTCCCCTTTGTTCTGAATTGTGCATTGTGTGCCTCTGACAGTGGTGGCGAGTCCTAGAGCTGGGGAAGGTGTGCCTGGTACCCCTCGGACACCCCACGTGACCACTCACACAGAGCTTCCCACAGCAGGCAGTGTCCCCAGAGGCTGCAGGGACTCACACTGTCCCGTGTTCCCCAGCTGGGGGGTGAGCTCCCCGCCTGGGCCTGCCGCCTGATTTCGACATCCACACACTTCTCATCCCATAAAGTCTACTCGAGGGTCAGGTCTGGAGCTTGGGGTCAGACCCTGGCCATTCCCAGGATGCTGCTGGCGGTCGTCACAGCGGCCTCTGGCCAGGGAGCAGGCACGAGCTCCTGACCGGGTCAGGGGGATACAGAGCAGATTGGAGGTCCCAGTTCATGTCCCATGGGGGCTGTTCTGGGTGGGGAGGGACAAGGGTTGGCGTGGACACACCGTGAGATGCCCAGGGGCCGGGGAGCTGGGGGTCTTGGCCTGGAGCAGCCCTGCCCAGCTGGGGCCATGCTTGGGAATCGTGGTCCCGTGCTCCCGCCTCTCCAGGTTCCCCTGCATGGGCGAGCTCACGGGTGTGGACGAGGGCCCAGCCCCACACCCACGACGTGTTTGTTGCAGGTCGGTGGCTGAGGCCACGGAGGTGGATCTGAACATGCGTGTGGGGCTGCACACCGGCCGGGTCCTCTGTGGGGTCCTTGGCCTGCGCAAGTGGCAGTATGACGTGTGGTCCAATGACGTGACGCTGGCCAATGTCATGGAGGCCGCCGGCCTGCCCGGGTGAGTTGGGGCGAGGTTGTGCACTCTGGGCTGGAGGGGCCTGCACGGGGCCCCCGGGATCCCTGAGCTCCACGGGAAGCCGGCGGCGGATGGAGAGGAGGCCCCGTGGTCGGACCACCCTGTGCTGTCACTCCTCTCTGCCCTGTGCTCCCCCGGGGAAGGCTGGGTGCATTTCCACACGGTCCGTGCCATGCTCCTCTGTCCTCATCCTCCTTCAGACAGTCCCCAGAGCCAAGGCCAGGTGCTCCCGGGTGGCCGGGAGTGGAATGGGGCCGCAGGAGGACTCCAGATGCTCAACACCGAGCGTCAGCGGCGCTCGCCCCCGTGGCGGCCTGCGTGGTGCATCTCTTACGTGTGCGCCTGCGGGGACGCCCCTGGCTCTGCCCCTTCCGCCCCCCACTGCCTGCCCCAGAGGCCGGGTGTCCCTGGGATGCTTCCTTCCCCTTCCCTCCTGGATGGCCCGTGGGGGACGCGGCTGAAACAGGCACCATGTGTCCTGACACTGACGCCTTTCAAGGTGGGCTCAGAGGTAGTGCCACTGTCCTCTGTGGGCCGGCCGTCTCTGGGCACCTGACCCCTGGACACTTACAGCCACCCACAGACCTGTCCCTCCCACATGCTGTCTGTTATTCTCCACCTGTCCATCCTGCAAACACCCACCGTCATCCAGATCCACTGGGCATCCAGAGAATGTGGCCAGACTCCGATGGGTGGATGGACGGATGGATGGATGGAAGGATGGAATTCACCGTGTGACTCCCCAATCCCAGTTTCATGCTGGGACTCCTGCAGCTAGGTTTCTGGGCTCCTCCTCGAGGCTCTAGTCCCTGAGCAGTCTGCCTGGAGGGACCAAGGCCAGGCTGGGGCGCAATGGAAGGTCTCACACACCCCGCCATGTGGCCTCATACTGCCACGACTTCCCCAAACTGCTAGGTGCACAAACTGCCAGGCTACCACAAAGCAGAGGACCTGGGTCCTAAGCAAACACTGCCTGCTCCAGGGGTCCCGGGGGAGCCACGGCGGGCATCACCTCCAGCCCCCCCACCCCAGCTCCAGACCTGCGTCCCCTTCCCCTGCCAGCTGGGACTGTCACACGCATAACTGGGCCTCCAGTCCCACAGGACTGAGAGGCAGTGGAGGCCGGGCCTCTCCTCCCCATCTGTGTCCAGGGAAGGTGCTCCCGGGGCTGACCGTCCGGGCTGGCCAGGCTGTGCCTCGGCTGGAATCCCCGGTGGCGTCCGCTCCCACCGTGTGCTTCCACCCGCGACCCCTGCTCCGTCCCCGAGCCTGGAGCGCTGGCTGCTGACAGTTCTGCGACTCCGCGGCTGGGCGTGCCTCCCATGCCCGTTGCGGGTGGAAGACGCTAAGCGCAGGAGCAGACGCCCGTGCACCTCCTTGCAGACAGCCTCGGTGCTGGGTGTCCCTTTGCAGTTCAGGGCCAGGCTGGCGGTGACCGTGCCCCAGAGCCTGGAGGCTGGTGGCAGGGGCTCTTGTGCTCCAGTGCCCGGTTTTCCTGCAGGAAATGGAGGGGCACAGTGGTGTGGGGACTCTGGGCTCACAGGTGCTTTGCTCGCTGTGGGCGGTGGCTTTGGGCCCCGAGGCCCTGTGCTCAGGTGTCTGGGAGGAGCCAGAGCTGCGGGGTCCTGGGGGCCACTGTGGCTCCCAGGCTTGTGGCTGTGCTCAGGAGATGCGGGCTGAGGGTTTCTCCTTCCGTCACCCGGAAACACACTGGGGTGAGCATGAGGGCCGTCCCACCTCTTGCGGGGGAGGAGCAGCGTGGTATCCTTTCCCCTCGCCCCACTGCCTCCCTTCTGCCTCCTGCTCCTGCTGATGCTGCGCCCCCCGTATAGGCTCCGAGCCCGCCCCACCCCCACAACTCCCCCCTTGCTGGGCTCCCTCCCCCTCTTCTTCCCAGGTGACCTATGCTGCCTGGCGACCCGGGGAGTGCCCCTCCTGGTCCTCCTGTCTGCCACCGCCGCCGCAGGCCCTGGGCACGGCTGTGCTGCTGTTTTGCAGGAAAGTCCACATCACGAAGACGACCCTGGCTTGCTTGAATGGGGACTATGAGGTGGAGCCGGGGCACGGGCACGAGAGGAACAGTTTCCTGAAGGCTCACAACATCGAGACCTTCTTCATCGTGCCGTCACACCGGCGGAAGGTGGGCTCCGGGACCCGCTTGCCTGGGCCTGGGCCAGGCCTTTGGGTGGGTGAGCTCCTGGACCCCCAGTCGGGGCCCGGGGTCCGCTCCGGCACTCAACCATCCTGCATCCTCTCCCTCCCCTCATCTCCCCGGGCCTTTGTCCCGCTCCTGCAAAACAGGTCAGGGATGGGGGTGCACTGAGCAGAGGGGTGCTGGGCACACAGGGGGCCTGTGACTGTCGTGTGGGGCACTCGAGGTCGCTGTGTGTAAGGAAACTGACCTGGACGTGCTTGGGAGGGTTAGTCCCTCCAGAGTTCAGGGTAGTGATGGAGGGCACAGGGGAGGGGCTCAGAGATCAACTGGGGGGTACAGGGTATAGGTGAGGGTCTCAGGGCACAGATGGCCCCACTACTCTTCAGGACATAAGCAGGTGGGATAGGAGGGAGATCTTCAAGCTTTGTTGTCCTGTGTCCATGGATCAGGGCTGTGCTATCCCTTGTGCCCTGGGGGCCGTGGCTGTGGGGGGCTCCGGGCCAGGACAGGCTGGGCTCCGTAGCTCACTCCGGAAGAAGGGGAAGGAGGCTATGGCAGGTGTTGGTGGTGTGGAGGAGGGCCAGGTAAGGCATTGGTGCTGGACCCCAGGATAGCAGGAGTCACCCATGTGGGTGTGGAGGGTGGGTCTGAGGGGCAGGGAACCTGGAGGTGAGTGGGTGGTGGTCCACAGCCAGCTGCTGGCCCAGCCACTGACGTCCAGGCTCCAGGGTCCCCCTGTGGCCTGGCCCCAAACCTTCCCGCAGCTCCACTGGAGGACTGAGGCCTCACTCTGGTTTTCAGAGGCCCTGGGTGTAGCTGAGAGCCGTGTCCTGTGGGCCTGGCTTGCTGGTTCTGTCCACCTCTGTTTGTCCTTGAGCACATGGTCCCCGTGACCTCCCTGTCCCCGTCAGGTTCCCGCTCCCGGCCCGGGGGCTCGGGGCGCAGCGCGGGTCTGCTGACCGGTATGTGCGTGCCGGCTGCTGGCACAGATATTTCCAGGGCTGATCCTGTCTGACATCAAGCCTGCCAAGAGGATGAAGTTCAAGACGGTGTGTTACCTGCTGGTGCAGCTCATGCACTGCCGGAGGATGTTCAGGGCGGAGATCCCCTTCTCCAACGTCATGACCTGCGAGGACGACGACAAGGTAAGGGCCTCCTGCCCCTGTGGGGACCTCCCTGCCCAGGGCCGCCTGGCCCCGTGTGCTTTCCAAAGTGTAAATGCTGTTCAAAGCCAGGCTGCTTGTGTTTTCCTGGAAAAATCTTTCTATCGTCTTGCCTTTTATTTTTTTCCAACTTGGCTTCCATGTGTGTGTGGGTAAACGCATGCGTGGACCCCAGCAGCTGTCCCTGAGGTTATCCATGCTGGTCAGATGCTCTGCCGTGAGGTCTGGAGCCTTGGAGATGGCCCATGAGCCCAGGCGCCATTGGGTAGGCTTGTCTCCGGCTGCCCCCACCGCCGGGTCTTCCGCTGTGCACCTGCTCGCCCCTCTTTGTGTTCAAAGCTGTCCAGTCCATGGAAGGTGGCCTCCCCTGGGGGTGCCAGCCTCGTGGCCTGGCTGCCAGGATTTTCCCCCTTTCCTCTCGGGTTGGTCATAGCTGTCTCTGGGTGTTCTGGTCTTCTGCTGGGTTTGGGGGGGCAGTGCTGCTCCGTGGCGGTCCCAGAGTCCACTTCAACCATGTTGGTCTTGTGTCTCAAGGGGCAGAGACCCTGGTCATCTGGGGCAGGGGTTGCATCCCAGGAGCCTGGGATAAGCCTGGAGTGCCGCCCCTTTCTCTTCTGTGTCCTCATGTCCTGGGCCCCCCAGCCCAGTGTGGCTCCGTCCGTGACCCATGTCCGTTTCCCGAGAACGCGCTGCTATCCACCTGCTCCTGTTTTCCCTGCCATCCGGGATATTGTGCGGTGACGTGGAACTCCATCCCTGCAGTTCTGGGGTTTTTCAGGAAGAAGCAAGATTCTGCCTGGCACTCCTGGGGGTTCTTGCCGCATAGGTTTTTGTGGTTTTGACTGTGAGCTCACATTTGCGAGAATTTTGCTGGAAATTCTTGAAGAGCCGCGCTGACGTGGGTTCTATCAAGACTGGCCTTCCCCTTGGCCAGTGTGCTCGGTGGATTTTGGAAGTTCCAGGCAGGCAGACGTGGGCAAATGTGTTCCTGGGGGTCCCCTTGGTGCAGACCCGGGTCTAAGAGTGTCCCCCATGCAAGGGCTCCCCTCACTGGTGTTTGTGACGGGGCCACTGGAGGCAGGCCATCTTAGAACTTTGACCTCACTGCCTGCCCTGCTCTCGCCTCGTGTCGCTGTAGCTGTCTCGTGAGTGATGACGGGCTCTCCAAGCTCCCTGGGTCTCAGACAGCAGCGGTACGTCAGCCACCTGCCCAGCCTGGGTTCCCACATCTGGATGTCCTCTAGTGACTTTCTTACCAGCTTCATGTGCATTTGAAAGTGTGTGTGCGTGCCCGTGTATGAGTGTGTGTATTTGGGTGTATGCACGCGTACACACACGTGTGCGTGCACCACTGTGTGCACACAAGTGTGCATGTACGCACATGTATATGAATTGTGCACATGCACGCACGTGTGAGTGTGCATGAATATGTCCATGCAAATGTGCTGATGTGGACACTGATGCATGCATGAGTATGCACATATGAGTGCATGCACGTACACAGGCGTGTCCATGTGCACGTACGAGTGTGCACGTGCAGACACATGTGAGTGTGCTCACATGTGCATGCATGTATCAGTGTGCACACACGAGTGCGTGCACACACGTGAGTGTGCATGCATGAGCGTGTGCATGGAAGTGTCCATAGGAGTGTGTGCATGTATGAGTGCACGCACACATACACGTGTGCCTGCACGTATGGGTGTGTGCATGCATGAATGCGCACATGCGTGCACGCACACACATGTGCCTGTGTGACGAGTGTGTGAATGCATGTGTGTGCATGTATGTGTGCATGTACAAATGTGCATGCATGCACCAGTGTGTGCACACGAGTGTGATGCACACAGGTGAGTGTGCACGCACGAGTTTGTGAGTGCAGGTGTCCACATGAATGTATGTATGAGTGCGTGCACACACGTGTGCCTGAGTGTATGGGTATGTGCGTGCATGCATCTGCATGTATGAATACACACGTGTGCGTGCACATGCATGCCTGAGTGTACTGGGGTGTGTGCGGCCCTTCCCTCCCTGTTGTCTGTAGTCGCTGCTGGATCCCTCACCCCCCGTCCTGCTCCTCCTGCCCTCCTGGGAGCACAGAGCCATGCTGGTTTCCTCCCGTCTCCCTCATCCTGATCCTAGCCCAGCCCCTGACACCCCGAATCTCTGAGTGCGGGGGACCTCCCAGGTCAGGCTCTGCCCACCTCGAGACTCTGCTCCTTCATCTCCGTGTGCTCCAGCCTCCCTCTTTGGGGGACACCTGCTGCCTCACGCTCTGCCGGGTGCCTAATGCACCGTGCAGGTGTGCACTCCTGCCGTTGTCCCTGCCACCATGCCCGGTGCCCCAGTGTCCAAGGTCGAGCCCCCCAACTGTCCTGTGGTTTCAGGGCTCTTCATCTGCACACAGCTCCCCGAGCTGAGAGGGTCTCTGAACCCCAGGCTTCACCCCATGTCTGGTCCCTCCCCACCAGCCAGCACTCCCAGCCTCCAAGGCCCGAGTGGTTCCCCTGCCGAGACAGAGGCACAGGCAGGTAGTGGGTTGGGGGCCTGCGGCTTCCCCTCATCGCCATCTCCTCATGAGGACTGAAAATAAGCCCCATCGCGCAGGATGGCAGTGTCTACACCGTGGGAGGCCTCCCGATGGTTGGGACAGGGCAGTGACAAGGCTGGTGGTCTGGACAGGGTAGAGAGGTGCAGAGGCAGGGCTGGCCCACTAGTGAGGGCACCTGGGGAGGTGACCGTCTAGTGACCTGAGGGACAGGCTTTTCTGCCTGCAGACACTGTCCCCACAGCCCCCAGAGCCTGCGTCCCCTTCGGGACAAGGTCTCTCACTGGCCCTGCATCCCAGCCCTCTGCGTCCAGGCCTGACTTCCATGCAGGCGCCCTCGCGTGTGGTCAGGGTGGGCGTGCTGACCAGACAGCGCTGGGCTGGTCCATCCCGCTGCATACTGCGTGTCACATGTATGAATTTAACGAAAGTCGGCAGGATGACCTACGTGTGGTTTGGTCACTTGTTTTGTTACCTGCCAGTACGGCATCACAAATGTTTCTCATATTAATAAACGTTCCTCCGAAATATGATGTTTGTGTCACTGTGGGGGTCTCCAAACTGAGGACAGACCCTGTATTGATTCTACGTCCATTGACGTTTAGGTCATTTATGATTCTTTTGTTTCCCGGGTGGCGTGAATAGCTCACAGCGTTTTTCTCACGGAGCTCGTGGACATCTGTGATCACCTTGGGACATGCACGTCTGTGGGTCCCGGGTCGCCGAGAGTGGCGTGCAGTCCGTGTCCACACAGCTCCCTGCGCCCTGCCCGGCGCTGCGGGTCCGCACACCTGCTTCCGTGTCTGTGTCTCCATCCTGGCCAGCAACTTTGCAAACATCGTTTCTACCATTTCGGTGGGAATTTAACAGCGAGAACTTTCAGCTCATCCGATACTCATCCTGCTACCTTCCTCCCCCGCTCTTGAGTGTTCTCGACGCACAGTCGAAGCGTGACTGGCTCCTTCTCCATCTTGTATGTACTGTTTCCAGTGGGAGAGGCACGCTTTCCTCCCAGCTTTGCAGACTGTCACTGTGACGCTTTTGGTCAGAAGCAACCATCCACGTGAGCAAGTGTTGGCACTTCTGCATATGAGTGGATGTGGAATTTCAGAAACTGCGTTCAGTAGCTACTGGGATGACCCGTCCAGTGGTTTTCTCCCTGACTTGCACAGTGATGGGGCACAGGACCCTCCGGCGTCTCCGGGACGCTGAGTAGCTGCTTTCGCTGTCTGAGCCGCGTGGTCAGGAAGCCCAAGCTGTACACCCAGCCTGTGCTTATCTGCTCTTTGCCCGGGACAGTGCCGGCTCCCCTCTCTGCTGACATAGTCACACGTGGGCCCCTCTCGTGTGGCTTCCCGTTGTTGCTGGAGTGGACGCGGTGAGCTCTGCGGCTGCCAGCAGCCCCGGGCAGGTCTGTGTCCATCAGCTCCGGATGGGTCAGCCCAGGGCACAGTGGCTGTTAGCCGCTCACCACCTGGCACCCTGACTTAGGCAGGCGCTCCCTGACTGTGGTTGGGTCTCAGGCCAGGTCTGCCATCTGGTGACAGTGTGCACGGTACTGGGAAAGCCAGGCCGAGTGTGGCATTCTTCCCTCTCAGGCCTCAGCAAGGACTGTTCGAGCATGGGCATGGGGTCGCTCAGTGCCCTCCGCGCCCCTCCCTCCTGTGTGTCCGGCCCGTTCCAACAAGAGGTTCTGCTCCTCTCACTGAGGGAACTTTGCAGCTGCTTCACCAAGGCCTTGGGCGCCCAGGCCTGGCTCCACCCCTGCTGTGCCTCATCCTGGCTGGGGAAGCCCGCCCGTTCCCAGGGTGACCGTCATTTCTAGAAAGTCACCTGTGAAGTGGTGATACCTTCAGGTCAGGGCCTGGAGTCCGGGGGCATTTCTGCAGCATGAGGGTCGACCACACCGGGGAGAGCAGGGAGGGAGGGAGATGGGGGTACAGGATGGGAGGGAGCAGCCGCCTGCTGACCGCACCCCAGAGTGGCCGGTGTCGGGCAGGGCCGTGCATCGCCGTGTGCCATCCCCAGCTTGTGCATCGTGGGTGGGAGATGCTTTCGCTTGTCTCTGCTGCTCTGCTGCCTCAGGGAGCAGCGTGTCTAAGCCGAGCCCCAGGGAGTGCCCTCCTGCCCAGCCCCACCCAGACGAGAACATCACTGGGTGCTGCAGGAGGTGCCGTCCTTCCTGTCGGCCAGCTCACCACCCGTGTCTCCCAGCACCCGCATCCCATGGTGGGGTGGGGCACCTGGGAGTGGGGGGGCAGATGGGCACCGGCCCCCAAGGATGCCACCTCACACACGGGTGTGCTCAGAAGTCCTGCTAGCCAGCAGTGGGTTCCGTGGCATCAAAGAAAACCCCAATCATGGCGGCTTGAAGGAAAGAGAGATTAGCTTTCTTAGGTTAAAATATCCCTGGAGAGCAGGCAAGATGCGGCTAATGTGGTGGCTTCACAATCATCTTGCGCTAGAGCTCTTCTGTGATACTATTCTGGCTTGCCCGCTGTCACCTCATGGCCCAAAACAGATGCTGTGGCTCCAGTCATTGCATCCCTGTTCCAGCTGGCAGAAAGGAAGGGGGGCAGGTGAGTACATTTCAGCCGCCAAGCCAGCTTTCCTAGGCTGCCCAGGCCTGCTCCTCCATGTCCCCACGAGCCCTGCCTGTGACCAGAGCCGGTCACGTCTCCTGCCTTGGGTCAGTGAGCTGAGCGGCGGCTGTCAGCCTCCCAGGAGCCCACCCCGCAGCCTGGCCCTTCTTCCTGGCTTCCCAGGAGGAGCTTATAGTTCCCGGTGTGTCTGCCTTGTCTGGGTCTCCATGTGGACGGGGCCTTCAACCCGCCTGCTGTCGCCACTGAGAATACGGAAAGCCAGCTCGAGGACTCAGTCTGGGCCAGCGTGTTTCCAGCTCCTCCGAAGCATGAATGTCTCAGGTCCTGTGAGAGCACCCCTCGGGGGCCACCTTTGTTCTCACATGTCAGACCAGGAGGTTGGAGCACGGAGAGGTTAAGCAGCTCAGTCACAGTGCACAGCGCCCGGCATTCAGGTCTGCACTGAAGCCGCCAGCCTTCCCTTTCGCAGGTGCAAAAAGACTCGGGCAGCCAAGTTCCACAGCAAAATGGGCAACAGTTTTCTCTTAACCTTGATTTTGAATCGTTTTCCAAGGAAATGTTTGTTGTGGAATGTTGAGAAAAATATGGAAAAGAAGGAGACCGTGATCCCGCCCACAGGAGGTGGCCACAGCTCCCGTCCTGTCCCATCAAATAGGCCGCATGCAGGTCAGGGTGCGGCAGGTCTTCCTGTCTCGCTGCCCAGACTCCCCTGCGTGCCCTGGATGGTGCGGCCCCCCAGAAATCAGCCCTGCCCTCGTTGGCCTCTGCAGACTCGGGGCTGGCAGGCGCACACCTGCTCCTCCCGGAATAACTAGCACCGTCGTGCAGATCCAGGGGCCGTGGTGCCCGCCGGCCTTTCCCTGCACGCCGGGTGCTCACGGGACCCGACCCACTGTCATGGGAGGTGGCGGGGTGCGGGCATTTTTATCGTGTGCAAATGCGTTAGGTCCGGGGGAGGGGGTTGCATTCACAGGAGCCCACCAAGGGTTCCCTGGCTCTGCAGGCCCCGAGCACAGGCGGGACTTCCTGTGCTTGTTCTCGGGCCCCAGGGAGTCCGGGGCGGAGGAATGGGAAGGAGCACGTCCACAGGCTGGTGTTTGCGTGGGAGCAACACGCACGCTGTCCCCAGAAGCAAGTGGGCGGCTTGCTTCCAAGCAGGGACTGCGGGACGCACCTCAAGGTCCATACCTGTTCAGCGTTTCCGCAGCTTTCTGGGGGTAGGGGTGACCCACCACCCTGACCACACGCGCGCCAGGCAGCTTGCCCAGAGTGGCCTGGGGCCCCGGCGGCTTCCCCCGGGGTCGCAGCTCACCCAGTGTCTGCACGGACCCAAAAGACGGCATGGGCTTTGCTGACCGGTGTGTGTGGCTCTGGCCCACGTCATCTTGGCGGCCACACCCCAGATCTGGGACATTTCCTTCACGGCCACAGTCCCCCTTGTGCTGGGGTCACACCACTGCCCTCCCCAAAGCTCTCTGTCCCGTGACTCACACTTGAGAGTGTCATATACACCCTGTGACCTTGGCTCTTTCTTCAGACTCAGCACAAAGCCCGGGGGTCCGTCCAGGCCGTTCCCACCTCAGCAGCCGCCTCTGGTCGTGGCCGGACATGTTCCACGGTGGGGAGGGACCGCCGCTGGCGTGGCCTGTTGAGGGACCTTTTGGTTGTTTCCCACTTGGACTGTTGCAAATAAAGCAGCAGTAACCGTTTGCGTTCAGAGTTTCACGCCCACATAACCGCGTATTTGCTGGGGAGATGCCCAGCTGTGCCGCCGCTGGGTCTTTGTTATTTGTTTTATTTTTATTTTTTTTTTTTAAGAAACCGCCAAACCGTGGGTGGCGTGATTGCCCCATTTCACGTTCCCAGCAGCCACGTGTGAGAGATCCGGCTTCTCTCGCCCGCCCGTGGCGCCGGCACTGTTTCCAGAACGTTTTGGCCGTCCCGATAGGTGTGTAGTGACGCCTCAGGATTTTACTTGGCGTGTCCCTGGTGGTTAATCATGCCGACCGTCGCTTCCAAGGCCTTATTTTCTGTCCGCATAGTTTTCTCTTCTGTTTTTGGGAAAATGTCTGCCTTGCTTTCTAATTCGAGTGATTTCTTGGTGCTGTGGAATTCTGAGAGTCCTTGATAAATTCTCGATTCTTTCATTGCATGTGTGGTTCGTACGTGTCTCCGTCCGGCCTGTGGTTTGTCTTTCACAGGACGGACGTTTTAAATTGTGAGGATGTCCAGTTCACCGACGTTTTTCCTTGCGAACGGAGTTTGTGTTTGGTGTCGTACGAGCTTTCGACGTAGCCCAGACCCCGAAGATTGCCACGTTTCTTCTAAGAGTTGATGCTCATCTGTTTGATAGTTAAACCTATGGTGCATAGTGAGTTCATCTCTATAAGGTGCAGGGTTTGGGTCAAGATTTACTTCTTTGCGTGTGGACGTCCATTTGGTTCAAAGTCATTTGTGGAAAAGACTACCCCTTCTGCCATTGAACTGCTCTTGCGTTTTTGTCCAGAATCATTGCCCATACTTGCATGAGGCTGTTTCTGGGCTGTCTCGTGTGTTCTGTTCCTCTGGCAGCAGCAAACTCTCCTGATCAGAGCAGCTGTGCAGTAAGTCTAACATTGGGTTGAGTGATTTGAAGAAAAATGTCTTCTAATCCACGAGCACACGTGTCCCTCCGTGCACGGAGATCTTCGATTTCTTTCATGAGTGTCACTGATACTGATGAGAGTATGTGATCGAAAATGATGGAGATGATGAGAAAACTGATCACGTTTTCAGCATACGAGTTGTATATGTGTTTTGTTAGAATCATATCTAGTTCTTCATTTTCCCCTGTGATTATAAATGGCGCTGGATTTTAACTTTGGTCATCACGTGCTGATTGTTAGTTTAACAAATATCTTTGTTTATTTACTTCTCTATTTTTAGAGAGAGAGAGAGCATCTGTGGGACCAGGGGGAGGGGCAGAGGGAGGGAGAGAATCTCAAGGTGACACCCCACTGAGCGTGGAGTCTGATGTGGGGCTCAATCCTGTGACCCTGAGATCACCACCTGAGCAAAAACCAAGAGTTAGACGCCCAACTGACTGAGCCACCCCGGTTCCCCAATAAATAGCCTTTCTATGTTTATCTTGCATCCGATGACCTTGTGGAATTCATTTGTCCTAGCACTTTTCCTCCCCTTGGAATTTTCTATATAGACCATCATGTCATCTGCAAACAGGGCCAGTTTTGGTTCTTTCTTTCTAGTATTTGCCTTGTATTTCCTTTTCTTGCCCTATTGCAGTGGCTGGGTCTCTAGTGCCTCTGAAAGTCAGGGGGAAAGCGTTCCATCTTTCACCAGCGCGTAGGACGTTACTGTTGAAACTGCATAGGTCTGCATCCAGTTGGGGAATTTCCCTCTTTCCCTAGTTGTCTGATTGTGTTTATCAAGAATGAGTACTGGATTTTGTCAAGTGCTTTTTCTATATCGATTGATGCACCATGGGATTTTTTATCTGGTGGTTAATAGGGTGTTACCATGGTGTAGGCTTCGGTGTACGGATGTGTAAGCAGACTTGTGTCTCTAGGAATGGTCGTGGCGCGTGCTGCTGTTCATACACTACTGAATTCTGTTTGCCCACATTTTGCTGACAATATTGAAAGACGTGGCCCGTACTCTTCCTTTTTTTGTACTGTCTCTTTCTGATGTTGGTATCAGGATCACACTGAATTTATAAAGTACGTTGGAAGGTGTTACCTTTTCTGTTTTCCCGAAGAGATTGTACAGAATTGCTGTTAATTCTTATTTAAATGTCTGGTAGAATTCTCCAGTGAAACCCTCTGGGCCTGGAGATTGAGTGCTCGGGAGTTTTCTGGTTAGGAATTGAATTTCTTTAGTAATTACAGGACTAACCTTGTACTCTTCCGTGTTGGGTGAGGTGTGGTCGTGTGTTTTGAGTAGCTCATTGATCCGAGTTGTCAGTCAGCGCGTGTCACTGTTCACAGTGATTCCTCCTTGCCTTTCCGAGGTCCACATGGCCTATAGTGGAATCAGATGTCATTCCTGCGTTTGTGAGCGCCATACTCTTTCCTTCTTTTTCACGCCTGTGAGACATGTGTCCATCTCATTGACATTTTTGAAGGACCGACCTCTGTTTCCTTGCTCTGTTGGGTCCCGTCTCCATGCACACGGGGTGCCACGTGAGCGCCACGTGTCCCCATTTGCAGACGCGGGGGTCCCGGCGGGGAGGACAGGCTCGGTGACCTGGACCTCAGCTAGCAGGTGGGGGAGCCCAGACCGCGTCCGAGCCCTGAGCCCGGCCCCCCAGCCTGCAGCGGGCGAGCCCACGGGCGGGAGGGCGCTTTCTCCGCAGCAGGTGGGGTGACGCTCTTTCCTTCCTCCGTGGCCACAGCGGAGGGCGTTGAGAACCGCGTCGGAGAAACTCAGAAACCGCTCATCCTTCTCCGCCAACGTCGTGCACACCGCGCCGGGCACGCGGGTCAACAGGTACATCGGCCGCCTCCTGGAGGCACGCCAGATGGAGCTGGAGATGGCGGACCTGGACTTCTTCACCCTGAAGTACAAGCAGGCGGAGCGCGAGCGCAAGGTAGGCGCCGGCCGGGGTGCGTGCGGGGGGCCGGGCCCTGGCTGCGGCCCCCGCGCTTGTCCTGCTGACTCGGGGCGGCCCCTGCGTGGCTCGGGCCGCCACTGACGGCCGGACGCGGTGTCTCCTAGTACCACCAGCTGCAGGACGACTACTTCACCTGTGCCGTGGTGCTCGCGCTCGTCCTGGCCGCCGTGTTCGGCCTTGTCTACCTGCTCATCATCCCGCAGTAAGTGCGGCGGCCCCGCGGTGAGGGGAGTCGGGCCGGGAGCCCCCTCTGTGTCCGCCCTGGCTCCCCCGTGGTCCCCACTCACGGAGACGGTGCCGGCCAGCTGCCCCGCTGCCCGTGTGTGTGGCGCGCTCGCTCCCGGCTTGTCCCTCGTCAGGCGAACAATCCTAAGACACCCGCCGTTCTCGGTGTTTCCATCCACACCACGTGTACCCTCGACTCCAGGACCGATGTCGAGGGAGAAAAGGCACACGGGTTTCTGGGTGTGCATCCATTTCGGACACATGAAAAAGAGAAAAAGTGGTTTCTGGAAAAGGAGGAAAGTGTAGGAATTTAATGACATGCGGTTATCTGGAGTCAAAGTGAGCTTGGTTGTCAGTGCTTGTTTTCGGTGGGAAGACCCACTCTCCTTCTGGACAAACCACTTTCTTGACAAGACCTCCCTAGGGGAGTCGTTCCCCTTTGTGTTTCCAGAGTTTCCAGAAAGCACAGGAAGCTGCCCTGTGCCCAGACCCTGGGAACACAGCGGCCACCTGCTGTCCCCGTGTGGGGACAAGCTTTTTCTAGAAAAGCTGCTCCCAGATGACATCCAGAGGGAGGGCTGTGCCCAATGGCCCGTTCTTTGGGAGGGAGGACCTCACGGTGCACCCAGGCGGAGGGAAGTCAGGGTGGAGACAGGAAGGGGCTTGGCAGAGAGCTCAGGGGTTGGAATCACAGGCTCTCCTTGGCACGCCATGCTCAGCCCTGCCCGCAGTGACCCTGTGGCTTCTGTCCTAGGAGTGTGGTCGTCCTGCTGCTGCTGGTGTTCTGCATCTGCTTCCTGGTGGCCTGTGTCCTGTACCTGCACGTCACCCGGGTCCAGGTGCGTGTGTGCATTTGTGTGTTCCTGTGAGCTTGAATCCTGTCCCAGCATGTCAGCCGGTTCACTGCGTGAGCCCCACGGAACGAGGGAGGCTAGCTGGCAGGGCCACGTCTGCTCACCTGCAGACTGGGGACAGCGGGGTCCTCACTGTCCTGCGGGAGGACTGGGATGGGGGGTAGCCCCACGGTGCCCTGGGCACCCTGGTTGGCTGCGGGTCTCGTGAGCGCCCTGTGCAGACTCCCTGCCATCTTTACTTGGGTTTTTGTTTCAAATTTCACGAGTGTGACTCTGAAAAGAACTCGGGTCTTTTACCCATGAAGTCACCTATTGAATATTGCAAAATGTACCTAAATGGGGTAAATAAAATTTCTCGTAACAAAAATGACTGCGAAGCCTCTGTGAAGAAAATGATAGAATGTACTTGAAGCTGAGAAAAGAAGACCTAAATAAGTGTAACTTCTGGTTATTTCTGGGATGGAAGGATTTCCTAGGACAAAAATGTCACACTGGCCACTTCTGTTCCTTTCAGCGCCAGAGTCACAGTGTGGGGTACGTGGTGGCGGGTGGAGTTCTTTTTAATTAAAGACTTTTGTTTTTTTTTCTTTTAATGTGGGCAGTTTGTCGACCTGGGAGGGGAAGCAGGAGCTCAGCCCAGGATTAGGGTTAGGGGGAGCTGCGCCGGGGTCCCGGCCACTCGCAGGGCCCTCTGCACTGTCTGCCTCGTGCGTGTTCGTAAACACCTGTTTTTACAGTGACGTGTTGTGTGGTTCAGTGTTTTCCAGGATGCCTGACTATCCAGATCCGCACCGTTTTGTGTATTTTCATCGTGGTCCTAATCTACTCCGTGGCCCAAGGCTGTGTGGTGAGCATTGCCGGAGGCAGCAGCGTGCGAGGAGTGAGATGTGGAGGCCGGTCGAGGGGGCGGCTGTCTCCTGGTGAAGGGACACCGAGCTCCTTTAACACATGCAGATGACAGAAGCTCTCGGGGCAGAGAAGCAGGACAGACTGGGGCAGGAGTGCCAGGAGGGAGGTGGGGGAGGGAGTACCAGGGGTAGGTGGAGCTACAGTAACAATAGGGGAGGAGCCGGGGCACCCAGAGGAGGCTGGTGGTCTGAGGAGGACGGCAGGGGTCTCCAGCCCTGGCCCTGCCCACCCCGCTGTGAGGAGCTTGGAAGGCAGAGTAGGAGGGAGGGTCCTAGGCCCTCTTGAGGCCCTGGGGTGGGGGTAGGGAGTGTGGGTCACGTGGGGGGGGCGGGTCACTAGGGGGCAGGTCCCCGGGGGGGCGGTGACCGGGGGGCACCTGTCCTGAACCAGGGCCTGTAGCGGGCTGGGGATGGCGGGCAGGCTGGTCCTGAGCAGGTGTCTCCCCGCCCCTCTGCCCCCTCCAGGTGGGCTGCCTGCCCTGGGCCTGGAGCTCGAGCCCCAACAGGTCCCTGGTGGTCCTGGCGCCCAGCGGCCGGAACGCCCTGCTGCCTGCCGCGCCCTGCGAGTCGGCTCCCCATGCCCTGCTGTGCGGCCTCGTGGGCACCCTCCCGCTGGCCGTCTTCCTGCGGGTGTCCTCGCTGCCCAAGATGATCCTGCTGTTTGTGCTCACGGCGTCCTACATCCTGGTCCTGGAGCTCAGCGGGTACACCCGGGCCTCGGGGTAAGTGCGCTCCCCCAGCGGGACACGCCTGGGTGGGGTCGTGTGCGCCCACTCGGGCTCTGCCTGCTCCGGCCTGCAGGTCAGGAAGCCCCTGGGCTGTGCAGCTTCTCCGTGTGTCCGTCTGGGTCCCGGTCTCTGGGCGAGTGTGGCTCCGGCCTGTGTCCATGGCAGGTGCTGGCGAGCGTGGTGTCCCGGGCCGCACAGGGCCAGGTCTGGGGCTCTCCGTGCTGACGAGCTTCCCTTCCTCATACCCTGCAGGGGCGGTGCGGTGTCTGGGCGCAGCTTCGAGCCGATCGTGGCCGTCCTGCTGTTCTCCTGCACACTGGCCCTGCACGCGCGGCAGGTGGACGTCAAGCTGCGGCTGGATTACCTGTGGGCGGCACAGGCAAGACGCGCCCTCTCTGCCCCGTGGGGGGGTGGGTGGCTTGGGCAAGATGCGCCCTCTCTGCCCCGTGGGGGGCTGTGCGACAGAGGGGCCCCTCAGGAGGGGGATAGAGCTCGTGTGGGTGGAGGAGGCAGGGCTGGGGCCCGGGAGGAGGACGAGGCCGGGGGAAGGCAGCTCTGGGCAGCTGGTGACCATCTAATGGGCCCTGCCTGATGGGCGCACGAGTGTGGCGGTGTTTCCAGCAGTGAGCTGCCCATCCCCAGAGGCATTCGGGCCCGTGGGGCTGCGGTGCAGTGGCTCTGCCTTCTCTGGACTGCCTGCGACAGTGGGTCTCCTCGGGGTCATGGGAGACTCCAGAAAACACCGGCGCCTGCACCGTGTGCCCCAGATTGAGTGCGTCTGTGGGTGGGGGAGGGCGGGAACCTCCATCATTTCCGAGCGTGCTGGCAAATTCTGGCGCCAGAGTCCTCCAGGGGGCTGAGGAGTGCAGGTGCGGGAGCTGTCCCTGGGCCCCTAGCCCCGGGGGAGGCGACGACCACTGGAGGCTCGCTCTGTCCACCTGCCTAGTGACCACCGCCCGGGGCACTTCTGGGCCATTCCTAGGACGCGGGGCTGGTGTCTCCGGGACCCGCTCGTCTCCTGCTGCGTCCTCAGCCTTTGGACTGGGAGGCTATCCGGCTTTCAGGGTCAAGTTCAGACTCTGTGCCACATGCAAACTTCTTGACTCTGAGCAGGTTGCTTCTGCTCAGCTCCCCCGTCTCGGTGTGGGGAGGAGGTGTGCCGCAGGATGGAGGCCCGGGAGTGTTAGCCCTCCAGGGTTTTCTTCTTCTGATGTATCAAGAAGCAGCTTTCCAGTGTTGGGGGCATGGAATTGTGTTTGTTCTCACGGGGGTGGGGCCTGCAGGTGGGGAGCGGAGCACGGATGCACGGGACACGGCTGGGACACGGCTGAGCTGGGATGACCAGGGGTCCGAGTGGAGTCTGGGGCAGCTGGGATCCTCCTCACCCCGGGAGCCCTGTGTGCAGCCAGGGACCTCACGGGGGACCAGGGCACTGGGACACCTGCGGCCTGACACCGAACAGGGGAAGCCCAGAGGATTGGGGGTGAGGTCGCCCATGCCGGGGAGGGCCGTCTGCTTCATTCAGGCGGCAGTGCAAATGCTGACCCCTCCTGAGACCAGCGCAGACCCCCAGAAATGATGTTTGCAGGCCGTCTGGGCACCCTGTGGCCCAGTCCAGGTGACACGTAAACTGTTCATCCCAGGGAAGGGTACGGTCACTGTAGTTTCCCACGAGGATGGGGTTGGTGGCGGTCCTGGCGTGGGGCAGGTGGGCTCGGGCGGCAGAGCGAGCGGCAGAGCGGGACCTGCCTTGTTCACCTGCAGGGACGCCCCGCCTGCAGTGGCTGGTCCAATACTTCCTGGCAAAGACAGGTCCCGGCCAAGGACTTCAGGGCGGGATGCGTATCCAAGATCCCAAAGGAGGATTCTGTTACTTTGGGCAAACGAAAGAGAGAAGACAGGCACGTGTGTACGCACACGTCTATTCTGCAGACATACGTGTATCTGCGTGTGTCTACGTACAGACACACGTGTGCTGGGGGAGGACGTGGCTTAATTACTCTGTTTTACGTGACGGCCGCCGGGTAGGATTCCCGCTCTACACGACTCGTTCCTGGGAAGTATGCGGCTCGGCGGTTTTCGGTGTACTTACTGAGTGGGGTGGCCGTCACCACGGTCAGCGTTAGAACACGGGACGGCCCCAGAAAGGACCTGTATCCATCAGCGGTCGCTCCCTACTTCCGCCACCCCAACCCCGATCTCCTTTCTGTCCCGGTGGAGGTGGCTATTTTGGTGCTTCTCCATCCCGTGTGCTCAGCGTGAGTCGCTCCAAGCAGTCCCTGCCCTGTGTGCCGGGGAGACCCCCGCTCCTGAGGGACCACCCAGCGCCGGCAGCCGCGTACATGGGCTCCCAGGAGGGAGGCCTGGCTGCGGCCGTTTGTCAGAGTCTCGCTGGGTCACAGAGAACGGCCCCTTTTGTGGGCTCTGCCAAGGGACCTGGTCTTGTCTGGCTCCGGCCAGCTGTCCGGGGTGGCCGGGCTGGCTGGTGCGCGGGGGTGCCCGCCCCGCGGTCAGCGGGCCCCTCTGGCTTCTGGTCTGGGTTGTGACTTGCTGCCCGGAGCTGGGAGGACAGACTAGGAGGAGCCGGGGTCGGGGATGGGCTAATGGCCTGCGAGTCTGGCCTCCAGCTCGTTCACCAGGCGCCTGTTCCGCGGCTGCCCTCCCGGACACAGGCCGGGGCGACGTGTGCTCTCATCTGGTCCCGCAAGCGCGTTTCTGGGCATCGGTGTCCCTTGAAATGTCGGTAAGCCTGGCGCTTGACCCTGCCCTGGGGTCCTCCAGCGCCGGCACCCCGTGCCACACCTGGCCCCCGCCTCCAAGCGAGCTTTCCAGAGACTTCAGGGCCGGAGAGACCGTCCCCATGTCACCGGGAAGGGTCACCTACACACAGTCTGTGGACGTGTTTTTCCAAGGATGCTTAACGAGAAATGCCACCTCACCTTCCCGTGAACCCAGCAAAACAAGGCCATTTCTACACTTCGCCTGTCTGCCCTCTGGGTACCTAAGCCTGTCTCGCAGGCATCACGGTGTCTCACACTGATGTGAAATGGCCAGGCCAGAGCCGAGGGGTTAATGAATGACTGACCCTGGGCTGCCCACAAAAACCTGCGTGCTCGGGCTTGCCTCTCTCTGTGTGGCCGTCATGGTGCTTCTGTTCCAGAGCATGTTTTCTTTAGACTCCCCAGGAGTTTTGATGGTAATAAGGCAGCGGATGTCTGTACCAGAGAATGCTTGACTCGGGAGGGTGGTTCCTATTGGTCCTGGTGCCATATTGGTGGTGCTCAGTGGAGGGCAGCCCCGCGGGGGCTTGCGTGTGACATAGGAACGGTTCTACGTATTGTTGGATTCACTTGGCCAAAATTCGGTAAGAATATTTTCATCCCCGTTCGTGAGTGTTGTTGTTCTGTGTCTTGGAGGGAAGACGGGGCTTTGAGGTCCGAGTGAAGCAGGCCTCACGAGTGGGAACGTGTGGCTTCTTTTTGGGTTTCCGGAAGAGTCCATAGAGTTGGTGCCATTTTTTCCTCAGATATTTGGGGCCGTGAAGCCCGTGGGCTTGGATTTGTTTGTATGTATCCAGGGTGGGAAGGTTTTAACCGAAATCAGTGTTTCTCAAGGGAAAGGGCTATCAGGTGTTCCATTTCTTTCCGAGGCATCTTTGGAAATTTATATTGTTTCCTGAACGCTGTTCATTCTGTTGTCACAAAATTGTTTTTACCCTCCCGTCCTTTCCCGCTTGTGGTGACGTCCTCTCTCTCCTGCTGACGTAGAATTGTGTAGACTCTTCTCTTTTGATCAGCGTGACCAGAAGTTCATACGTTTTACTGATCTTCTCAAGAAATAGCATTTGGTTTTATCGATTTTCCTGTTATTTTTGAGTTTCCCGTTTCGGTGGATTCCACCCTCATCTTTACGTTCTTCTGAGGACTCTGGGTTGACTCGGCTCTTATCTTCTACTTTCTCAAGATGATTTGTATCTTTTCTGATTCCGGGGTTTTGTTACCCATTTTCCTCCAAGAGCTGCTTTAATCGCACCAATTTTGACATTGTATGTCATTGCGTTTTCCTTTGACTCAAGGACTTTCTGGTTTTGTGTCTGCGTGTGCGTGTGTGTGTTTAAGGTCTTCTTTGGACCAAAAGTTACGAAGAAATACATTCTTCTTTCTAAGGTTTCCCAGCGATCTTCTTGTTTTTGACTTTCTACTTAGTTATATTGTGATCAGACCTTATGCCTTGGAGCCTTGAATCCTTTAAACGTCCTGAGAATTCTATGCTCCGTGCTCCGTTCTGTCGCTATTGGGTGGTGGGTTTTTAAGTATCAGGCCGGCCGAGAGCGTTCCTCAGTCCCCCAGGCCCTCACAGACTTTCTGCCCATCCTGCCGGTTTTTGAGAGAATCATGTTGAAACCTCCCACTGTGCCTGTGCACGGAAGGCAAGTGCCTTTTGAAACGAGCTGCGCTGCAGAGGGGACAGCTTGAAAACAGTGTGTTGCTTGTGTCTCTCACGCGGTGACAGGGACAGTGCGTGCCGCCCACATTAGCTCTTTCTCACCCGTACTTTGGGTTTCCGGGTTGGTAAGAAAATCTCACAAAAAGAGAATTTCAGTGGCTTTTCTCGTATTTGTTAAAAACACAGTAACACAACTTTTTCTGCTTAATTTGTAAGAAGATGGACACTTATCCAACACACGTTATGTAAACCTTTGCATGTGGAAATGCATTAAAAAACAGTAATTTTTTGCTCTTTTGCTGGAAATAAATGTCAGTTAATTCTAGGTCATTTGAAAGACACTGAACTTAGAACCAAAGCTTTTGATCACAAAGCGATAAACCAAGATTCTTTATTTTGCAAAGTCCGAGCGCCTTCACTTGCGTTGTTTTCTGTAAGGAATCTTAGCACTAACGATATTTGGGGGAGAGCAAAATTTTTAGTGCCGTCAACAAATAAAACCGCTCCCTTAAAAATGCGGACTTCCTCTTCATCTCACCCTGCAGAAAGCTTCTCTTGCGTCTGTCGGTGCGCGTGTGTTGAGAGGTAATGACCTGCACGTGTCCTGGGGGAGGATCCGGCTTCCTTCTGGTACCTCCCTCTCTCCCACGGCTGCAGCCTCCCTCCTGCAGAGGCCTGCTCGTCTCCACCCAGTCTTGTAGCTTCTGGGCTCCCTCTCCTGTGCCCCCTGCTGCCCGATGGTGTGCTGTGAGGGGGACAGAGCCTGTCCTGTTGCCTTCCCCAGCACAGCGCCCAGAGGAGGCCCAGGGCTGCTGGCCATGCCCCTCATCCTGGCCGCGCCGTCCCCTGTGCTCCAGGCATCCCTGTCCTTGTGCCTGGCTTCTGCAGCTCTGCCGCTGGGAGTCGCCACTTCCCGCTTTAACTGGTGGAAGTTGCACTGAGGTAACAGTAGCGGACAGTTCCAGGCTTAGTAGGTAGTACACGCTCCCTAACCCTTGATAAGTAAGAGTGCGACCCTGAGACGGAGCATTTTCCCTCCATTTTATGATGAGGAAGCTGGAGCCTGTCACGTGGCCATGAAGCGGGACTGGAACTGGGAAGGGTTGCCTCCAAGCCCAATAGGCATCCCTGTGTCACTCTTGCCACCACCAGAAGCCAGTGTCCCCAAGCCTGAGGCAGCCCGAGAAATGTTCTCCAAACTGCTCCTTTCACAGGTCGGGCGGCTGCCAGGTTTGGGAGCTCGGGTGAGTGACCAACGGCCATCTGGTGGTTTTGGTGTCTGAGGGCTGGCGTGGCTGCTGCAGCAGGGCGGGAGTCATTGCTGCCAGCTTCATTAGTCTGTGCAAAGGCCCTGTGGTCCAGAGGTTCTCCACCTGCCCGGCAGCATACCCTGGGAGAGCCCCCTTGGGCCGCACCACCTGCTCTGGAGAGTTTGTGCTTGGCCGAGTCCCGTTGATGCTGTATCTGTCCCAACCTCAGGTCCCTGCAGGTCTCCCTGTCTCAGGGCCCAGGATGTCAGTGGTGCTGGCAGCGCGGAGATTCTAGAGGAAATGGGATTGGCTGCCTGGCTTTGGGCGTCCCGAGTGACTGGCACAGGTGGCAGATGCCTGTGAATGTTCTGTGGCACATCGGAGGCTGCCTGGGGGAGCCTCAGGTGCTGCAGGGGTCAGGGCCCCAGCAGGTGGTGGGGAGTGTACCCTGGAAATGGGGTGACCCCCACTGTCTGTCCTTTGAAAGTCACAACGGATCGGGGTGGGGACTTACCCAGAAATTCGTGGCTCCTCTGGGCCCCCGGGATGTCGATGCAAGGGCTCTGCCTGGGGCGGGGTGTGGAGACGAGCCTGTGTAGACTATGGGCCAGCGCCCTTGGGGTCTCGTTCAGATGATTGCAAAGAGCCGGGTGCTGTAGGAAAGCTGCACCCGTGACCGGTGTGGGACAGATGTCATTTAAAGCCATCGGCACAGGCGCGGCACGGGCAAGTAGGGGCTTGTTGCCAAGGAGCAGGTAGGGGTCGGCAGACAGAATATCGCCAAGGGGAAATGTCAGGGGTGTGGGGTCTGAGGGTCTGACCTAAGAGGCTTCCGGCTGGGGGCAGCGCACGGTGTCGGGGGTGCCCCGGGAGTGAGGGGCTGGGGAGCCCCGTCTGACGTCCCGGGGGGCGTCGGGCTGGACTCCTGGTTCTGCCGAGACCATGAAGCCGAGGCCCCCAGACGCCCACGCGGTGCCCGGCTCTAGGGTCGGGGTCAGGGTCCGCCTGGTCTGGGGCAGTCTGTCAGGGGGTGCCCGGCAAGGGGAGGAAGCCGCGTGGGTAACGGAGGCTCTGCCCGCAGGCGGAGGAGGAGAGGGACGACATGGAGAGGGTGAAGCTGGACAACAAGCGGATCCTCTTCAACCTCCTGCCGGCCCACGTCGCTCAGCACTTCCTCATGTCTAACCCCCGGAACATGGTGAGCGGGCACGGCCTCCCGCTCCGCCGGCGGGGCTGCCTGCGGCCGGGCACCCACCCGGGGACCCTCCCATCACGTCTCTGCTTGGAATGGCCAAGCTTGGCTGCTTCTGAGCCGGGGCCGCCCCGAGGCTGAGCGGGGCCCCCGCGTCCACCCGCCCGGGCACCGGGAGGCGCTCTCGGTCCCGGGACAGAGCAGAGCACCCGCCACCCCGCATGGAGGGAGAATGGGCCTCAGGAACCCGCGTTCAGGGCAGCCGGGGGTCCGAGCTTGCTGCGAGGGAGCCTGGAACCACCCGCAGAGCAGGGCTCACACGCCAGCTCAGACACAGAGAGGCTTGGTCAGCCTTTCTGATCCTAAAGGCACAGGGCCCAGGGCTCAGCCTGACCGGCTTTACCCCGAAGTTCCCAGGGCTCCCGGGGCAGCTCAGAGCCCACGCGTCCTTACCCGCCGCCCCCTCCCCTGCCCACGCCTCTGCCCGGCGCCGCGGCTGACCTCACCTCTGCCCCCAGGACCTGTACTACCAGTCCTACTCGCAGGTGGGCGTCATGTTCGCCTCCATCCCCAACTTTGACGACTTCTACATCGAGCTGGACGGCAACAACATGGGTGTGGAGTGCCTGCGCCTCCTGAACGAGATCATCGCTGACTTTGACGAGGTGACAGCCGTGGCCCCCAGGTGGCACGTCCCCCGCCCACGTGTGTTCTGTCCCCTGGGGGGTCCAAACTGACCCTGACCGTGCAGGAGGGGCCTCTGCCGTCCGCAGGCACTGAGTTCCGGTGGGGGGCGCTGGCTCCTGTCCCCTATTTAGTAAGGCTGGGCTTGGCAGGTGGCCTCACCTCCAAGACGGGGAGGAGGGGCGGGCAGGAGCCTGGGGTCTGCTCCCTGCCCTAGGGCGTCCCTCAGGCTGAGTCTCAGGCCGCTGCCGCAGGGTGGGTGCTCTGCTTGGTCCCTCCTGGGCTCCTCTTTCCCACGCCCTTGCCGGAGCCCCTCAGATCAGCCCAGACCTTGGCCAATGCCCACGACATAAGAGACACGCTGCTTCCCAAAACAGGCTCGCCATCTGCCCTGGGGTTGCACCCACAGTGGCTTCTCTTGGCTGTTATGTAATGTTTGACAGTTTTGTGTTTTATACCAAGCTCATGGACAAAGACTTTTACAAGGACCTGGAGAAGATCAAGACCATCGGGAGCACCTACATGGCTGCGGTGGGGCTGGTGCCCACGACCGGGTCCAAGGTGGGTGCTGTCCGGGGCTTTGCTTCTCAGGGACTGGGTCCCAGCTCTGCCCCAGACTTCTCTGGGACTCTGTGCGTGTTCCCTGATCTGAGCGCCAGTCTGCCCTAGCATCGGGTCAGGACAGTGGCCTGTGGGCTGTCCATTCAGGGGCCAGCTCTCTCCAGACTGTGTCGCATGAAAAGTCAGCCCCAAAGCCAGTCTCAGGGGGCTTGCTCTGGCCCTGCCCTGCCCCACTGACCCTCCCTCAACAGCCCTGCCTCTTCCTCACTGACCCTCTCCTCCCTACCAGCCACACCCCAGCCCTGCCAGTGCAGCACCATGGAGTGTTCCCCTTTCCCAAAGCAGAATTGTGAATAAAGCCCTCAGGTTGCCCTTAAAAAAAAAGGCAAGAAAAGAAAGGTAGATGTAAAACAAAAATGCAATGAATGGAAAACGGTTATAAATATGGGAGATACTAATTCAGCTCTATCAATGATCACTTTAAATGTGAAAGGAAATATGCCAATTAAAAGAGACTGACAGAGTGGCCAAAAACACAAGACCCGACTAGCTTTGCCACAAGAAACACACTTTAACTATAAAGACACAGATACCTTAAGAATATAGGATGTAGATGGAGGTCGCATTCAAGCACTCATAAAACAAAATTTAGGTGGCACTCTTAAGACAAAACAAATTCAGATCAAGGAAAATGATCAGATAAAGAGGGAGACTGCAAGATGGTGAAGTAGTCAGTGCCCTAGGAGGACGTCACGGTCTTTAACATGTACTCGCTTCATAACAACACGGCAAAATACACAAGGCAAAGCACAGACGGGACCATGAGGAGCGACAGACGGACCCGCTGTCGTAGTCGCAGACGTCAGCACCCTCCCAGTCACGGGCAGATCCAGCCGGCTGCGCACCGAGAAGGTGGTTAAAGGGAACAGCATCAGGAAGCACCTGCATAAAATCAGCACCTAGCGGCGACTCCACGCGATAGCAGCGGAACACACATTCTTCCCGCACTCAGGGGGGACATTCACCAAGACAGAGCACATCCAGGGCCGCAGAACGCACCTTGACAAGTTTAAAACCATTGAAATCCTACAAAGTGTGTTCTCAGACCAGAATGGAAGTGAACTAGAAGTTGATTGGTGGGGAGATACTTGGAAAATTCCTAAATGTTTGGAGGCTAAGCAACACTTGTCCAAATGACACGAGCCGAAGAAGGAATCTCAGGAGAGTTTTAAAAATGTTTTGGACTAAATAAAAAGGAAAATGCAATTTATCGAGGTCCGTGGGATGCAGCAAAAGCAGCCCTTAGAGAGAAATTTATGTCACCGAAGTACTATATTAGAAGACGAGAGCAATCCAAAACCAGTCATCTGTGCTTGCGCTGTAGGAAACTAGAGAAAGAACAATAGAAACCAGTAAGAATGGGGAGGAAACCAGAGCACAAATCAATGAAATTGAAAAACAGGTAGGCACTAAAGAAAATCAATGATGGGGTGCCTGGGTGCCTCCATCAGTGAAGCGTCCAACTCCTGATTTTGGCTCAGGTCATGATGTCAGGGCTGAGAGGTCCAGCTCTGCGTCGGGCTCCCTGCTCAGCGTGGAGTCTTCTTGAGATTCTCTCTCTCTCTTTCTCTCTCCTGCCCCTCCCCTTGCTCGTGCTAAAAATATACAAACAAACAAATAAATAAAATATCTTTTAAAAAGAAAATCAATAAAACTAAAACCTGGGCTTTTGAAAAAGCAATAAAGTTGATAACCTCTGGCCATGCTAACCGAGAAAGGAAGAAAACACAATTACTAGTATCAGAAATGAAAGATGGGCCCCTCGTACTGAACTGAAACATGAAAAAGTATGTTATGAGCAACTTTGTGCCCACCAGTGTCGTAATTTCGATCAAATGGACCAATTCCCTAAAAGCCAAAATTCCAACAAGGGGAAATTTAAAATTCCCTAAAAGCCAAAACTCAAACAAGGGGAAATTAAAAATTTTAACAGGCCCATGTCTATTAAAGAAATTGAATCGATAATTAGTAACCTTCCAAAAGGGGAGTAGACCCAGATGGGTTCACTGAACATTTAAGGAAGAAATTATACCAGTTCTCTAAAATCTCTTCCAGAAAGTGGAACTTTGTAACTCATTTCTTTCTAACTCATTTTATGAGTCCAGTATTATAATAATAAGAAAGTCAGATAAAGAAACTACAGGGAAAGAAGACCACAGGTCAGTAATTCTCATGAGTAGAGATGTGTGTGTCCTCAACAAACATTAGCAGGTTGAACCCAACATTGTATGAAAACCATAGAGCACAAGGAAGTTGGAGTTGGATGTCCAGATACCAAAGCTGGAGCAACGTTTCCAAGTGAGTTCATGAAATTTACTATAGCAACCGGATAAAGAAGAGACATCACAGGTGACCATGTCATTTAATTCCTGCAGAACAGTCACTTGACAACATCCAGCACCCCTTCCTGATTTTAAAAAACAACTGTGAGCAAACTCTATGAATAGGAACCTTGTCAACTTGGCAAGGAACATCCACAAAATCCCGGTAGTTTTCCATCACACCTGATGAGAAACAAAGCTTCCCCCTCAGATCGGGAGCACGGTAAGAACACCCCTTGTCATCACACCTATGTGACCTTGGTATTGGAAGTCTTAGCTAGTGCAATAAGACAAGAAGAGGAAATAAATGTACGTAGACTGGGGAGGAAGAAATAAAACACTTTTCACAGATGACATGATTATGTAGAAAATGAAAAAGAATCCACAGAATGTCTGTGATAAGTAACCCTAAGGCGGTAGTAGAAAAAAAGATTAACAGATAAGTCAGTTCCCTACACAACAGCAATAAGCAGGTGGAATTTGAAATTAAAAACACAGTGCCATTGATTGTAGCACCCCCCCCAATTAAATACTAGGTCATGTTTAACAAAGTAGCTCCAACGCTATCTCTGGGAGCAAAACAATCTTTGATGCAATAAATCAAAGAAGATCTAAGTAAGTGAAGACGTAATGTTCCTCTGAGCGTTGGAAGACCCATGGTCTAGAGGTCAGTTGTGGCCGTCGATCTTACGGATTTACACAGTCCCACTCCAAAGTCCAACAGGTTGTTCTGTGATGTTGACCAACTGCTCCGGAGTTTACGTGGAGGTCAAAGCCCCAGAGTAAGTTAACGCAGTACAGTAGAACAGAATGGGGTGGGAAGACTGACATTCCTGACTTCAAGGCCAACCAGAAAGTGTGCCGTGATCAAAACAGTGTGATGCTGGGGGAGAACAAACAGCTAGATTGATGGAAGAGAATAGAGCCAGACAGACCCATCAGGAGAGTCAACAGATCCCCACGAGAGGGCAGACGGAGCAGAGGTAGCCAGCAACACACAGTGCTGGGACAGCGGCACATCTGTCGGTGTAGCCGGACGTTAAAGCAAGATGTGCTAAACTAACTCATAATGGATCCTGGGTCTCCGTGTAAAAGGCAGACGTGTTAGACCTAGAAGAGAGAGTAAGAGAAGACTTAGGTGACCTTGGGTTTGGTGATGAGTTTTTAGATACAACACTGAAAGCATGATCCGCAGAAGAAAGCATCATTCTGCTGGATGTAATTAAGAATTTAAAATTCCATGTGGGAGATACTATAATGAAAAGACAATCCACAGACCGAGGGAAAATCTTTGCAAACCACTATCTGATAAAGGACTTGGATCTAAAATACACAAAGAACCCCCAGGGCACCTGGGTGGCTCAGTCGGTCAAGTGTCCGACTCCTGATCTCAGCTCAGGTTTGATCTGAGGGTTGTGAGTTCAAGGCCTGCTTTGGGCCCCAAAATAGATACCAAGAACTCTTAAAACTCAGCAGTAAGAAAACAAAGAAGCTGATTCAAGAGTGGGCAAAAGATCTGAACAGATCTCTTCCCGAAGAAGGCACCCATGACAGGTAAGTGTAGGGAGATGCTCTGTGTCACGTGTCATCAAGGAAATGTAAATCAAGACCGCGAGACCCCACTACACACTGATCAGAATGGCCAACATCCAGAACCCTGGGACACTCAGCACTGGCGAGGACCCGGAGTGACAGGAACGCGCCCCCATGGCCGGTGGGGATGAAGAGGGGCACGGTGTGTCTAGAAGACCGTCTGGCCGTTTCTTACAAAACGAAACATACTCTTAACCCTGCGATCCAGCAATCACAGTCTTTGGCATTTACCTGAAGGAGCGGACAGTGTGTGTCCACACAGTATGTGACCTGGGTGCTCACTGCGGCTGTATTCAGGACTGCCGAAGCTTGCAAGCCACGAGTGTCCTTCATTGGGTGAAGGGATAACACACCGCGGTCCATCCAGACAAGGAGACACTATTCAGCGCTGAAAAGGAACGACGTGTCACACGATGGCAACACGTGGAGGAAACTTGGGTGCGTTTTCCGGAGGCAAGAAGCCAATCCGGAGATGCTGATGCTAGAGGATCCCAGTTATGGAACGTTCTGGAAGAGGCACAACTGTGGAGATGGTGGAAGGATTGGGAGTTGCCAGGGGCTGAGGGAGGGGGATGAACACACGGGCATGGGGGACGGGGTGGGGGACAGTGACGCTCCTTTGTGTTTTGGTACAGTTGTGGGCGCACGAAATTCTGCGTTTGTGGAAACCCACAGGATGTTACACACGTACCTCCAAGCCCAGTGTGACCTGTAGTTAGTAACCATCGTGGGTCACTGTGGGCGCTTCAGTGGTAAGGAAGGTCCTAACGCAGGAGGTGACCGGGAGGGGCACCGTGTGAGGGAGGCGGCCGACAGGACTCTTACCAAAGGAAGACAATGGACCATTGTCATTGTTTGGCACGAGAGAGGTCGCGTAGCAGCACAAAGCAGTGGGAGCCACAGGCTCTGCGTGAGGGGAGACCGCCCTGCTTCCCTGTGCACCTCGGGCCGTGGCACCCCTGCCCCTGCCTGCAGGGGTGTGCAGCCCGTCGAGGGGCTGGCCCTAAGCCAGCACCCAGCCTGCAGGCGGTGGACGCATTTGTGCCTGTGTGATCCGGTCCCTGATCCCCCCACGGGGATGGCAGGGCGCCTCCCAAGCATCCCCGGCTGTCAGCCTTGCCCTCACTCCCCCAAACGTGGTAACCCCCGTCTGCTCACGCACAGGCAAAGAAGTGCATCTCCTCGCACCTCAGCACGCTGGCCGACTTCGCCATCGAGATGTTTGACGTCCTGGACGAAATCAACTACCAGTCTTACAACGACTTTGTGCTCCGCGTCGGTACGTTGCTGCGGGCGGCTGCCACTCGGGCCGGCACGCTGCGCCCACCCCACCCGGGGATGGGGGCCTGCCCGCCCCCACCTACGCCAGGGCCCCAGGAGGGAGGGTGGGCCTCCCAGGGGCGGGCCTGGGGACACAGGGACCCTCTACCCCAAGGGGCACCGTCCAGCTCTTGAAACACCTCTGCGTCCACATGCGGCGGGAGGAAAATGACCCTAGAGGTGGTTCTAGAATTCAGACGTCTAGTGTCCAGAGAAATATCTCAGAGCCGGGATGGCGTGAAGGCAGCAGCACGGCCACCAGAGCCGGAGGCATTCTGAGGCTCCCCTCTGAGGCTCACCATTTGAGGCCTGGTGCTCCCCCTGGTGCCTGCCCGACCTGGGAGCTGCGTTCCAGCTTTGTCCTCGGGCCGGAACTCCACCATCCATGCAGTGATGCGCCGGGAACACACACTTCCTGCCCCCGGGGACCTGGTGGGGTGGGAGCCCAGACCCTTTCGCCCAGCAGGTGGGCTCTGTCTGGCCCACGCCCCCGCAGCCACGGGGTGGGGGTGGTGCGGGGGGGGGGAGCAGCCACTCAGGTCCCTGTCGGGTCCCCAGCTCAGCCCCAGGGCCATCCCACTGCCAGGCCTGAGGCACAGATGAGGACAGTGGCCCCCGACATCATTACCACATGTGCCTAACCCGGAAAAGTCTGTGCGTGGGTGCAGAACAAGGGGACATGTGACATGGTGTCAGCAGAGCCAGGAAGCCCCGTTGTGGGATGGCTGCAGGGGTGTCTGGCGCTCTTCCAGCAAGTCGGGGGCCTCTGCTCCCTACTTCAGAGATCCCGGAAGACCGAACAGCTGTGGGCCCCACACCCTGAACGCCCCACAGGGTGGCACCCCGGGAAACCATCAGGAGCGACTGTGCCTCCTGGAAGGGGACCGCGGGGGGACACACTGCCGTTCTGCAGTCTGAAAGGCTTCCTGGCAGCGGGGTTGCTGGTCCAGGAAACAGGACTCTCTCCACTCCCCGGGGCTCATGTGTAAGCAGACACTGGGACTGGGGACCACCTCTTCCCAATGAGGTGGGTCCCTACTTTGGGAAGGGGCCCTGGGCTAGGTGACCCCAGGAATCCATGACCCTGAGAGGGGCAGCTCCTTCCCCTGAAGCCTTGCCGGCGCTGATGGCACTCTGTGGCTGTCTTCCAGGCATCAACGTTGGCCCTGTGGTGGCCGGGGTGATTGGGGCTCGAAGGCCACAGTATGACATTTGGGGAAACACGGTCAACGTGGCCAGCCGGATGGACAGCACCGGTGTCCAGGGCAGAATCCAGGTCAGTCTGCTAGAGTTGCCTGAGGCGTGGGTGCCGTCCTGCAGGTGTGAGGCAGGTGCAAGAGGTGGGGGGAGGGAGGTGAGGGGGGGGAGCTCAGGGTCCCCCCCCCGCCCCGCCTGCCTCTTCCGGGCAGGGACACAAAGCCGCAGCTGCCCGGTGCAGCATGTCTGTGCCCTGCAGGGCAGGACCCAAGACCCGGGGTGGTCTTGGTTTGGTTTGTCTTGTGGCCCTGGGGGTCGGCTCCCTCAAGGCCACGTGCCGAGTCAGGAGCACGGTGAGTGCTGGCGTCCCAGCGAGCCCGTCCAGCATCCAGGACTCTGCCCATCTGCCCAGCTGCCTTACACGGAGGAGCTTCCTTGGGTTTCGGGGGTGGGTGCTGTGGGGCTGCCTGGCTGGGAGGCTGTGGGCAGCTCTGACACTCTGCAGCAGTCCCCCGCCCCCCACCCCCCAAAAGGCACGCACAGGTCTGAGTGGCTCTCAGGACCCCCCTTCCAACCGTGCAAACCCAGGTCTGCCGGGGCCCGCACTGCAACCCCCGGGAGCCTCGGGGGAGGAGGATCCTGTCCCCTAGTGTGGCAGCGGCTGGCCTCTGGGCTCCTGCTGGGCACTCTGAGCGATACTGGGTCCAGCGCTGGCCTCTCCCTCTGGCTTGATCCCTGAGGAGGTCCTCCGAGACCCGCGTGTACCCAGGCGCCGGCCCCGCTCTCCCAGGGCTGCGTGTTCAGTCCCCCGCCTCGTCGCTGGAGGGTGCTGCCTCCCTGTCGGGTGCCTGGTGGGCCCTTCGGGTCCCGGTTAAAGTTTAACCTTCAGGAGGATCTGCTCACAGCAGCCCCAGCTGTAGTCCTTCCTTCGAATTTCTTGTATTATTGTGAAACACACACGACGTTTTTACCAAGTTCAGCATGTGTGAGCATGCTGCTTGGAGGTGCTAAGTCACGCCACCGTCGGGACACCGGGCCTCCCCGGACCAGGTCACCCCCAGGAGGGGACTTGACAAAGCCCCATCCACTGTCCAGCCGCTCACCTGCAAGTTCGCAGTTTCCACGATCACACTGTGGTGAGCCCCTCCCGGGCTCAGCACCAGGCCTGTCCCCTGTGGCCCCCCAGGGCCATTCTCCATGACGTGGCTGCCGCTCAAGGCCTGGCCTCCCCTGGCTGCTGGGCTGCGGGTGATGTGCCTCTCTGGTCTGTGTCCTCAGCTGCACGAGGGGCGCCCCCTGCCACGGCCCCGCCCCCTGCCTGCTCGTGGGTCCCTGTGTGGATTAAGATCGAGGGCAGATCCACGGGGGTACCTTGGATGATCACAGCCCCATGTGCCCTTGTTCTGACCCAGGCACCTGCCACACGGGGTCCCGGGGGTCCGACAAGCCCTGTGACCCCCCAAGTGGCCACTCTGCGTGCTGGGGTGGTCTTCCCACGCGCCCCACTGCTGCCACCCTGCGTGTCTGTGTCTGGACTCCCCGAGGCACAGAGCACTCAGCTGCCCCTTTAACGCCCCGTGCCTCAGAGGCCCTGCGATAGGGGAGCTCTGTGCAGACGGGGCCCCTCCCCTCCATCAGGCCCGGTGTCAGTGTCCAGGGTGAGTGCGCCAGGGTGGGACCGTTATCAGCGCGGGGAAGACGCGTTCTGTCCGTCAGGGCCGCCGGTGCTGCCTACACCCTCTCTGCCCAAGGCACCACTCCCGTCAGTGGCCCCGTACATGTGCCTCCTCCTGCATTGACAAGGAGCACGCCCCACCCCGTTGCTCCTTTTAGGAGTCTTTCCTCCGCGTCTGGTCCTTTCCTTGAAGTGCACATGTGGGACGTCCTTGTTAGCGGTCCAGCTTTACTTGTCCTGCTCCTCTGTGTCCGGGCCACTGGCGTGTGCCTGGGGTGCCCTGGGGCTCACAGTCTGGACAGGTGCTGCGTCTCTGTGTCCTGTCCAGCCTGCCGCACACCCTGGGCCCTCCCGCCCCGAGAGCGCTGCTTTCCAGAACCTGTCCAGGGCTAGTGGGTGGCTGAGCCCCTCGTGTCCCCTGGTGCTCTCTGATGTTGGGGACAGGTCACAGGGGTGGAGGAGGGAGCACTCTGGCATCCCTGCCCCCGGGATCCTCCCCTGCTGACCCCAGGGACGCTCATCTGCTTTCCTCTGCTGCAGGTGACCGAGGAGGTTCACCGGCTGCTGCGAAAGGGCACCTACCGCTTCGTGTGCCGTGGGAAGGTCAGCGTCAAGGGCAAGGGTGAGATGCTAACGTACTTCCTGGAAGGCCGGACCGATAGAAATGGCTCCCAGGCCAGGTCCCTGAATGCAGAGCGGAAAATGTGTGCTTACGGGCGACCTGGCCTCCAGACCAGACTGGGCACAGGCCCGCCCCCAATGGCCCCCATGGCTGGCCCCCCAGTCAGAGCTGGGCTGGGGGCTCTGCAGGGCTCGGGGCTCCCGCCGGGCCCTCACGGCCAGCACCCGCCCCCCGGAGCAGCTGGGAAGGAGGCTTAGTGGAGCCCACGCTGGCTGCTGGGGGCTCCAGCAGGGACCAGCCCGGCCCACAGAGCAGGGCCTGCAGCCGGAGGTTGGGCTGCAGAAGGGGTGCCGTCCCGGCATGACCCGAAGCATCTGGGCAGTGACGGGCCGGGCGAGCCCTGCCCACGTGGGTGCTGAGGCTTTAGGGGAACAGCCCCCTCGGTCCTCTCCTCGGTGGCCGAGGAGCGGCTGCCTGGGGTTGGCCAGCTCAGCGTCCAGCGTCGGGACCTTGGGAACGTCCGCCACGGCCCCAGGCTTCGGTTCAGCGGGAGCCGGGGAGCTGTGGCCGGCAGAGCGGGAGCACGTCCTGAGAAGGCCTGCAGCAGCCTGGGCTGGGAGCCAGGCCGCGCGCGTGTGTCAGGGCCAGAAAGCCCGGCCCCCGGGCCCAGATGGGCTGGGCCTGCAGTGCGCGGTTTGGGGAGAAGCCGCACAGCACAGAGGGGGGCTGCTGGCTTCCTTCGGGAGCCCTTTCTCGAGGGCCAGAGGCAGGTCTTCTGGAATTCTTGGGGCCCCGAGCCACGTCTCTGTGTTGCGACCAGCATCATCCCTGCTCTGCCTGCCAGTCCCGAGATGTCCCTCAGCCCCCGGATGGCCTCGGCCCTACAAACCCTGGCCTCACTTGTCAGGGAAGGAACCGAGATCACGGCCGCTGGGCCCTTGCTGTGTGTCTGGGGCTCCTGCTCTCCTCACAACAGCACAAACCTGCATGGATTTTGAAACAAGCGAACCATACCTCGGCACAGAGAAAGCTCCCCGCGGAGAAGGCTGTACCCCGGACGTGGGATTTTGGAGTGAGTTTGGGGGACACCTGCAGGGAGGGGGCTGCAGGGGACTCTGGGGAGGCCTGGGGGTCTCCCATGCGCACAGGTGCAGACCAAGGACGTGTGGGATGTGTTGCTAGGGGCGCTGGGTGGCAGCTCCGACCGCAGGAGAAGGCAGGTTGGCACCGGTGGGCAGGGGCTGGGCTTACTCTGGCTGAGCCCCTGTGCATGTCCCGGGCTGTTCCTGTGGTGGGCCTATGAGGCGTGGTGTCCTCCGTGGGGCCTCAGCCCTGCCCGGCCGTGGGGCAGCAGGTCGGCTGCCGGGCCGTGTGTGGATAGGCCGGCGATGCGGGACTCAGGACGGAGATGGGTGGGTGGACAGCCTCCCTCCTGAGAACCAGCTCTGCGCGGGGCCACCGAAGGCCATTGCTACCATCGCTACTGAGAAGGACTCTGTGGCCCAGCCATCCCCGCTCAGCCTTTAGAGAGACATGGCATGATCCCTTCAGGGGAAACTGAGTCATCTTGGGAGTCCCATGAGCATGTGGCCCATGTGGTGTGCCCATCTGTGCCAGGCTGCGGGACTGAGGACCTGGCCACGGTCCTGGAGCCTGCCTGCTGGTGGCCGCCAGCCTTCCACCAGGGCAGACCGGGGGGCAGCGGACCACACTGAGGTCCTGACCCCGTGCTCTATTGCGTGGCAAAGGGACTTCACAGACAGAATGGAAGGTTGGGCCTTAGGCCAGGGGCAGGATCCTGAGCTCTCTCGGTGGGACGCCTGCCTCCTTGAAGTGGACACAGAGGCAGGGTGGTCAGGATGGCCCAAGCATGAGGTTGCTGTTTAAAGATGCGGGGACCCAACCATCAGCCATCGGGGAGAGGAGCTGGCTGCCCCTGCAGAGACACGCCGTGGACTCCTTGTCCACCTGAGTGACCCGGGGGCAGGTGGACACCAAAGAGAGTCTCCGTGGCCCCCAGCCCTGCCGGTCCCGGACCGGGGGTCCACAGGACCGGAGCTCTGGAGCCCTGCCTTGTGCGTGGCCGCGGCGGGAGGCCGTGGGACCACCCACGGCGCCGAGGCCCAGCTCCCAGGAGCACGCGACACGTCGGTCATCAGCAGTCCAGACCCTACCGTTCCCGAGGGCGCGGGAGCCACCGCAGCGACCCTCGGAGGCGGGTGCACGATGTCTTCCTCTTTATTTGTGATGAGACTGTATGATCTTGCCTTATTTATTTTTAATCTCGTACAGTATTCACAGGCAAACGTTAGCCTTTCGAGTAGGGTTCTCTCTAAATTATTTAAGACGCTCTGTAAATAGTGCACTGTTTCAGGGGACACCTGTTCACTCCCACCAAAAATGAGAACAGTCCCCCAACCCCCGTGCGCATGGCACTCTTTATCCAGATGTGTGACGTCCCTAAGGCACCACGCCCCTGCTTGGGGGCACCTCGGCACGATAGGGGGACCCGTGTGTCCCTCGTGCACCACTTACACCCAACCTCAGTAGTGCAGAAGGCAGCACCAAACTTCCAGGCGCTTCCACGGACCACTGGGCCTGGGGGGTCCGCTGCACGGAGCCCCCTCCCCCACCACACCAGGCCCTCCCCGGCTGCACATTAGTCAGACCCCAGAGCCACAGCGCTTCCAGACACTTCCTGTCTCCAGAGGCAATAACTAACCTGCGGAAACAAGGCCAGTCCAAAGCCAACGGTGATTCCAGCATAAGCCATGCACACGAGTTTGCCCACGTTCAACCACGCCATGGGGCGGGGGCAACACCCCAGTGGCCGCCCAGCACCCCCTGCAGACCCAGCTCAGGCCCCGAGTTCTGTGGGGTTTGTCGTCGGTGTCCCAGGCACAGGGAGGGGAGGGCCAGCCTCAGCCCTGTCAGTGAAGTCACCCTCGGGGCGAGAGCAGGTCTGTGCACACGGGCGACCCTTCTAACACGTCTCAGCGCGCGCGTGGGGTGTAGTGAGCCTCTGGGCCGGGACACCCGTCCTGCCCGATGAGCCTGCTCTGTGTGTTGGATCCAGATGATACGAATGCCTGCTCTCGTCCCATCAGCACCCAGAAGTAGTGTGAACCCCCTCCTTTGTCCTTCTGAAGAAGGAAGGGTCCTGTGGGCCTCATGCTTGTGTGCCCCGGACAGGTGGACCTGGCTTCATTCCAGCATGTGTTCCCGGGATTCCCCAAGTCTGGGGTCCTGCGGGCCCCTCCCTGTGTGGCAGGCTCCGCCCATGACACGCATGCGCAGCCCACGAGGCAGGGGCTCCCTAAGTGTGCACCTGCCGCTGCATGGGAGCCGGGCGTGGGGGATGGGGGGCACCCAGCCCTGTGGGAGCTGGGTGTCCGAGATGGTGGGCACCCTGAAACGTGGGAGTCGGGTCTCGGGGATTGGGGGGCGCCCCGCTGCGCACCAAGCAGCTCTCTGACTCAGCGGGTCACAGAGCACTGCCAACACTTGTAATTCTGAAGCATACGGGCCTGTTGGGTCCATAGAAAGTCGCTCCTGGAAACCGACTTGAGCTGATGTTGTAGCAGCTTCAGTTTTAAAAACAACAAAACTTAAAAAGCAACAAATCAAGCTCCTTAGAGGAAGTTGGTTTCAAAATGTTTGGTTTGGGGGATGACTAAGGGGCAGGGAGTGGCCGGCTGGAAGCCGGAGGGCACAGCCGCGCCCCTGCACCGGGGTAATGTCCCCCCGGCCGCAGTGTGCTTTGAAAGCTGGGGCGGGGGGAGTTGAGGCTCCAGCACTCTCTGAGGGGATGCAGACACCACCTGGGGACGCAACCTCTTCTCACAGTATCTGGGTTTGCATTTCCACCCGTGAGTCTTAGACTGTGCTGGGTTGAAGTCTGGTTCAGGGATTGGGTTGCTAGGGGTGGCCTGAGGACCCCTGTCCTGGAGGGCGGGGTGGGGATGAGGCAGACGGTCAGGAAGGCTGTTTGGCTCAGCCTGAGGAATAAACTCCAGCTGTGAATTTTGTCAAGATGGACTTGGGAGGTGGGGGGTTGGCACTGACAGGCAGGCCCCCAGGACGTGAGACAGAGTCCCTGATTCTGGGTGGTGGGTGGCGAGGAGCCAAAGGCAGCCCCTGTGCCCGGAGATGGTGTGGGCCCCACAGCTGTGAATGTAGGGGTGCAGGGGTGGGTGTGCAGGGCCACCAGAGTGGGAGGGACGGCCTGCTGTGGCCAGGGGCATGAGGCAGGGCCCCTTAGCTCCTCCCTGTGCCCAGGGCCAGACTCCACACCCTCAGGGCGCTCCCGGGGACACCCCGGCTCCGGACACCAGCTCCTGTGTGCACACACTGGAGGCGGGTCCTGGGATGCTGGGGCACGTGGGTCACCTCCATGTCCAGTTCAGCGAAGTAAGCCTGATTTCAGAGGCCACGTTTCGGGACTAGACCTCCCTAAACAACCTCATGGTAATGACTCATACATTTGCATTTCTTAAATTTCCCTGAAAATTGTCATCTATCTACTCCCCGTCAGATCTGCTCATGGAGAGAAACAGTAACTCTTCCGCTGGAGCCATGCTGCGATCACATCTGTGTGTGTGTGTGTGCACACGTGTGTACTGTGCACGCATGTTTGTGAGCGTGTGATTGTACGCGTGCATGTGCGTGCGCACACGTGTATGTGTGCACGCGTGTCTGTGTACAGTGCGTGTATGTGTGCACACGTGTATGCACGCATGTTTGTGAGAGTGATTGTACACATGCGTGTGTGTGCATGTGCACACGTGTGTGCGCGCGTGTGTGCACGCTTGTATGGTTGTGTTATGTGTGTGCACATGTGGGTGTGTGCATGCGTGAGTGTATGCCACACCTGGCAGGGGAGGGTGTTCTAGACACAACTCTTTCTTCCTTTATGAAATCCGTGCTTTCCTTCCTACACCGATTGTGTATGTTCATGCTAAAGCTGCAGGAGAGGCCAGTAGCCATTGGCACGTGTAGTGAAAATCTCTCTCTTCTGGAATTCTCCATGTGGCCACAAACTAAGGGAACCACCATGACCAAGACCCACATCTACTTGGCAGCCCCAGAGCACCTTCTCCACCTGTCACCCGTTGGTCGCTTACAGCCCCCACAGTGTCATGAGGAATCTGGGGCTCAGAGAGGTTATTGACTTGAGCAAAGTCACACAGCACGAGTGGCAGGACCGAGACCCATGCCAGCATGTCCCAAGCCCTTGGTTTTCCGTCCTACTCAGTGGCTCTCTGCTGACACCGTACTGGGTTCGATGGAACCCCCCAGCTGGTCTGCACCGAAGTGCCCACTGTGGTGGGGACCCTGGCAGGCTGGTTTGGAGTGTTGGCCCCACTGCCTGCCCCCGGGTGCGCCCTGGGGAGCTCAGAACGCTGTCCTCAGCGGTGGACCCCCCAAGGACACTCATAGCTAGCCTGAGAAGTCCCACCTTGTGTCGCTTTCTATCCTAAATCCTAAATATGTGTCATGCCCACAGCCTATCCTGTCTGAGAACACACAGACCCTCCTTCAGCAGGAGGGATGGTTGCCTGTGTCTTTCCGCACGGCCTCTCTGGCATCAAACGGGAAGGG